ATGATTCTTAGTCAAAAGCATCATGGTCATAGGAAAGAGCAATGGATTTGAGGTCCAAGGACCTGAGTTCAGATCTTGGTTCTGCTCTTTCCTACCTGTGTGGCTTTTAGGTAGTCACTTCCCCTTCCTGTAGAAGGAGAGGGCTTCTCTGTGGACATCAGTGTGTCTGTGTGTCTTGGGTTCCTTTGGTGACTTGTGCAGGCCTAAGGGGTGAGGAACCTATTCCCCATCTAGGCTCTAGACTCTTCCCAGAAACGTGTTTTAAATACATAGGATTACCAAGGAAGCTGATTCTATGGAATCACAATTGTCAAAGCAGACTCTTGAAAACCTTCATGGATAATAATAATAATAATAATGCTTGCTCTAGATCCAAGTGCTACGGACAATGTCACTTCGCGTTTCTGGGCCTCAGTTTCCTCATCTGTAAAATAAGGGGTTGTCCTCCCAGGTGCCTCTAGCCTGTGAAGCCCCTTGGAGCTCTGAGATCTCTGAGAGCTCTGTGCAGGAGGACAGCACCAGCTCCCCTGGATTGGCGTTAAAAGCCCTAGAGGCTCTGCCTGTGTTCAGTGGGACTGTCTCTGTTTCCTTGCAGTAATGAACAGGACAGTCACCCAAACCCCCAACTGAAAACAGGGCTGGTGACTGGTGGGCAGGCTGTGGGCTACCTCACCCTAACTTGAACCCTGACTGACAGCAAGGGGAGAGCTTCAGCCTCCCCCAGAGAAAAAGGGGGAGGCAGGGGACCTCCCTAGCCTGGGGTGTGGGCTCCTCATCACACATTTAGTCCAATCCTCTCACTTCCCCGAAGAGAAAAATGAGGTCCAGACACTTAGCCAGGGTTCAAAGTTCTTTATGGTGCATCTCCTCAAATACCTCAAGGCTCCTCATATGCTGGGGAAAACCTAGGCCCCTCATGCTGAGAGACATCTGAGTCACAAATGCCCCTAGAAATGCTCTGGGCCTTTTACATTCCTCAGGGCCTCCTTGCCATCATCGAGGCACATCTCCCCTACCCCCAAATCACACATTGCCTGGGCCACAGACATTCCCAGAGACATTCTGGGTCCCTCATATCTGGAGGGATTCCCAAGGTACTTAACAGATCCCAGGTGCCTCCTGGGCTCACTCTTGGGGCCCTTGCTCTCTAAGCATACCCACTCACTGTCCCTTCCCCCTACCAACAACTGGGCCTGTCATACCTTAAAACTAGAACTGTGTCATAGATTATGGTTAAGCAGAACCATCCAGGTGCATAGAGCATGCATATTAATAAAGAGGGAGGTCTCTAGTGGAGTGCCAAAGGGATCTGACTTTTTTTAAATCAATTTGGCTGAAGGCAGAGATAGCATGTGTTTTAGATTCGCAAAGGACACAAGGCTGGGAGGGATAACTCACCCACTAGATGACAGGCTCCAAAGTGATCTGAAAAAGGGAGGGAGGCTAAGATGACTGAGATCCAGCTTGCTAGGGGGTAAATAGAAATCCAAAGAGATGACTTGTGTGAAAGCCTCTCCTGGGACTTCAAAAAAGCAGCTGTTCTTCCCCAATTGATAAATGGTCAAAGGACACAAACAAGCAGTTCTCAAAAGAAGAAATGCAAAGTATTCACAACCACGTAAAAAAAATGCTGTAAATCACTAATAATAAGAGAAACGTATATCCAAACAACCTTGAGGTCTCACCTCACACCCTGCAAATTGGCGAAAATGACTCAAAAACGACAACAATCCATGTTAGAGGGGTTGTGGAAAGAGAAGTACACTGGTGCATTGCTGGTGGAGCTGTGAAATACTACAACTATTTTAGAAAGCAATTTGGTTTTGTTTGTTTGTTTTGATGAGGCAATCAGGGTTAAGTGACTTGCCCAAGGTCACACAGCTAGTAAGTGTCAAGTGTCTAAGGCTGGATTTGAACTCAGGTGCTCCTGACTCCCAGGCCGGTGCTCTATCCGCTGTGCCACCTAGCTGCCCCAGAAAGTAATTCAGAACCATGAACATAAAATGACTAAGCCATCCACACACTTCGAACTAGAGACTCCATTAGTGCCTTTTCCCCCAAGGAAGCCACATACTCCACAGCAAACGAAGACCCTATATACTCCCAAATATTTGTATCAGCACTTTTTGTGATGGCTAGATAGATGCCCGTCAATGGAGAATGGCTAAACAAGTTACCTTTCGTGAATGGAATGAAATATTCCCATGTGAGAATCGTGTGTGATAAATACAGAGAAGCATGGGAAGATCCATCTGAACTGATACAGAGTAACGTCAGCAGAGCCAAGGAAACACTCTATACAATAATGACAACCATGTGAATGCAACAAAAAATGACACACGAAAATCAAAAGTAAGTGTAACAAAATCATAAAGTCCAAGAGGGCCAGGAACGAAGAGAGCTGAGGCGACAGCCCCAGCCTGCGCCTTGGCGGGCGCGGCAGGTCCACAAGTGCTACCCTCGCATGTGGCAACTTTTACAATGTATCCATCAGGTGTGTGGATTTTTTTCCTCTCTGAAAAATACTACTTGGGGGATAGCTAAGTGGCGCAGTGGATAGCTCACCAGTATTGGAGTCAAGGGGACCTGAGTTCAAATTTGACCTCAGACCAGACACTTGACACTAGCTGTGTGACCCTAGGCAAGTCACTAAACCCCAATTGCCCCCCCAAAAAAAACTATTTGTCATATGGGATGGCTCTCAGAGGAGGAGGGGGAAGGATACTGGGGATAACTATGATGATGTAAGAAATAGAGGGCATCAATAAAAAAAGTATTTTTAAAAAATCAGTTATGCATGCCTAGGGACAGCTTGTAGGAGGTGTGGTTTGAAAGCCGTTGATATGAAGATCTCGGGAGTTTCAATATGAGTCAGCAGGATTAGAAAACAAGCAAGAAAGCAGATGTAAACTGAGGCTGCATTAAGAGAAATAGGTATCCGGAACTGGGGCACAGGAGGATAGAGGTATTGTGGGATGATGGAGAGAACCTTGGCATAAGAGAAGCAGGTTCAAATCCTGCCTTGCATGCTTACTACCAGTGTGATCTCCTGGGCCTCAGTTTCCTCATCTGTAGCATGAGGGGCTTGAACTAGATGACCTCTAAGGTTCCTTCTAGCTCTGAATCTATGGCTCTCTGGCCCCAGTCAGAGTACCACTGAAACGTTGTGTTTGATTCTGGGGGCAAAGCTGGAAAGTGTCCAGAGGAAGCTGTGCAGCCTGGTGAAAGGATTGGAGACTGATTGAAAAAGACCACCCCAAGAGGTGAATGCACAGGCTGCCTCAGGAGGGCTGATTGTTAAATGTTCAGTGTGAGCAAGAGTGCCTCAGAAATGCACAAATGCTACAGATCAGAGCTTGGTTTATTGTTTATTACCTAGATTATCTAGACTTAAGAAAGTGATGGAGAAAGTGCTAACAAAGCTGACTAAACTTAATCCAGTGAGCCAGTTGTTCAATATTTACCAGCATACTCCTAGGCACTGCAGATATTGAGCCTGGAGGGAGGTAACATCTCCCGCTGACACAGTCAGGGCAAAGGAGTGCATAATGCATTCAATCAGATGCACAGGAAACTACATCTCTGAAGCTCAGCTTCCTCAGCTGTGAAATGGGCATAACAGTACTCGTGGCACTGAGGGATCAGAGGATATAGAGCTGGTAGGTGCCAGGAAAACATCTAGTCCAGGCCTGTACAGCCTGTGGCCCTGTAGACCTGATTTAGTATAACCTTCTTTTTAGGAAACTGAGGCTCAAAGAGTGTAAGGGGATTTACCTAAAGCCAGGCAGCTAGCAAGTTGGAGGCAGGATTCAAACCCATATCCTCCACTCCCAAGCCAGAACTCTCACCACTGTAGCCCATCACCCTAAAAGTGCTTTAGAAACATGGGCCATTGGACAGAGCACTGGCCCTGGAGTTAGAAGGACATGAGTTCAAATTTGGCCTCAGACACTCACTAGCTGTGTGACCCTGGACAAGTCACTTAACCCTGATTGAAAGAAAGAAAGAAAGAAAGAAGGAAAGAAAGAAGGAAAGAAAGAAAAAGTTATCATTACATTTCCCAAGAACAGTCCTAGAGCAAAGATAGCAGAGTTTCTGTTCTCTCCTCTGTAAAGGAAGGGTTTGGGTGAGATGATCCCTGAGGTCCTTCCCAGCTCTGACTCGGAGATCTCCCTTTTTTCTCCCTGTTCTTTATTGCCTTCTTTCTCTCTAAGGAACCACCTTCCTTCTAGTCACCCAAGTTCAGACCCTGGACTCCAGGGGGTTCAACTCTGCCCCCTCCTTCACAACATCCTCATCCAGGCACATGCCAATCCTGCTTCCCCAGGATCTCTCCCGTGTCTCTGCCAGCAGTCTCGATGGGCCCATCAGCTCTGGTCTGGACTACTGCAGCTGGCTTCTTATTGGTCCCCCTGCATCCAGGGTCTGTCTCCTGTCTCTGGTCCCTCCTAATACTGTCAAAGTGAGGTTGGTAAAGCAGGCGTCTCCTTCGCTCCCCAGCTCAAGCTGCTCCAGGGGCTCCCTGTGGCTTTTAGGGTCAAATACCAAGACAATGCCTTGGGCCCTACTGGGCAGGGCTCCCGCCCATTTTTTCTCCCTTTCCCGCACACTTCATCTCAAACCAGAAGGCTGCGCCTCCTAAGCTCGGCTTTTTAGAGTCCCTGCCTTTGGACTGCCTGACTTCCTTCCAGGCCCAGGGCAAGCTCGGCCGCCCTCCTGGGGCCTTTCCTCACCCCTTCAGGCCCTCGTGCCTCTGCCCACTCCCATTGTTTACACCTTGAATTGCTCGTTTGGTACCTACACATCTGTGGACTCGGGGATACTCCGCCCCCGGTCAGGAATACATGCTGTCTCTCCCCTCCCCTCTAATTAGACTGCGCGGGAACTGGGGTTTTGCCCTTCTCTGTATCTCCAGTGGCCGCCACACAGTAGGCGCTTAATAAGTGCTGCTTGTCTTGACTCGGCCGCCTGCCTAGCTAACAGACATCAAAGGTACCCACCTTTGTTGGGAAGCCTCTCCCATTCGGCAGGTGGGGAAACTGAGGCTGGGATGTGGTAGCCCGAGAAGCGGGACTCGTCTGCCGGTCTGTCCGGGGCCTCGCAGCCGCCTGCTCCCCTCGCCCCTAGGTGTGACACGCCCGAACCCCTGGCCATCCTTCAGAGCGGTCTCGGCCCCGCCCTCCTCGAAGGCGGAGCCAGAGGCGGGAAGGGGTGCGGCTTCCCAGGCTGTGCTGGCAGCTCGGGCAGGCAGGAGGGGGTCCAGCGATCTGAACAGAGCCGAGTAGAGTGGTGGGCAACTCGTTCTGCGCGGCGCCATGGGGAGCCAGCTGAGCACGGTAAGGGAACCGGGAGGGAGGGGGGAATCAGGCCTGGGGGCCTGCTGTGGCCTTGAAGGTTAGGGGCTAGGGTCTTGGGGCTGGGGGCCTGGTTACGGGCTAGACCTCCTCCAGGCCCTGCCAGGGGCTAGGGCTGGGGCTGGGGAGACGCAGCGGGAGGAGGAGGCGGGCGCCTTCTAAGGGGTCCCTGGGCCCCGCCTTGGGAAGCTGGGCCTGGCAGCTGGGGAGGGCCCCTTCGACCGCGCCCTGCCCCTCCCGGGGCCCCGGTCCTGCTCGGTGACTCATCTTTCCCCCCTCCCCGTTCCCTGCTGCGGGCCGCATCTTTGTGGTCCCTGGCCCCGGGACTGTATCCCTGGGGGAAGGAAAGCGGGTGCTGTTGTCTGTGCCAGATCCGCGCAGGCTCTGTCATTCCCCCCCCTCTGCCTGCTTGCCAGAGGTGGGGGATGGGCGAGGGGTGGCTGTCGTGCACCAGTGGAGGGCCTCCTTCTCTCTCCCCCTTAACCTAGCCTGCTCCCCGAAGCTGCCAGAGCTGTCTCGGAAGGTCCGTGGCCTGGCCCTCCGGGTCTTGCTCCGAAAGGAGAAACTGAGATCTGGAGATGGGGAAGGGACTTGTCCAAGAACCCCCCCCCCGGGGTGCTGAGAAGCCCCCAAGCTCGGGCGTGTTACCCACGCCCGGGGCCTCCGTCGTGCGTTGCCCCTGCTTGGCCTCCCAGGGAGGAGGACAGTACCCAGAGCCCTCTGCGGAGGGCAAGGCTTGGCCGGGCTCAGCAACTGGAAGGGACCCGGGAGGGCTTCGGTGCCCAGTACAACAGCCCTCCCCACCCAGCCGGTGCCCTCAGGCACCCTGTGCTTCCGGGGGCAGCCACCTGTCACTGCAGGAGGCACCAATTGTCATTGGGCCGCCACCTCCAAGACTCAGTTATTCTTAGCTCTGCCCAGCGGAGGCGGAGGCCCAGCCTCATCTGGCATCTTTTACAATTTCCTCCGGAGGCGCCTTGCACTTGCCCTCGGGGGCGAAGCCGAGCTAGGCTAGTCCTGGAGCTGAAGGGAGCCCTGGAGGCCATCTTGTCCAGCCAGCACCTCCTTCTACAGACGAGGAAACTGAGGCCCGGGGGGCGCCAGTCACTCACCCTCAGCACAGGCCGCACTTGAGCCCAGGGCTCCGCTTCCAGTCTGGGCCTTGTTTTCCCCTTTCTTTTGCATCACCCAGCCTCCAAGTCTCGTCCATTTGACAGACCCTCCAATAATCCAGACAGAATCGCGCCCCTGCCCTGCCCTGCCCTCCGCACACACTTCTCCCTTCACTCACTGAACTCGTTCCTCTCTTGACAGGGGGTGGGGCCGAGGGCGGGGCTGCCGTGCTGGGAGACTGGAACCTGGTCAGTCTGCCTAGGCTTCATGCTCAGTGTCTCTGCCCCACGATTGGGCCCTTCCTTCCCTGTCCTGCCAAGCCCGTGCAGGGCTCCAGAGCCCTGGCTTCCAGCCGCTCAGCAGCACGCCCCTTCCCCCATTTCCTGTGTCTCTTAAACTCTTGAAATCTTAGTTTACTCATCTGTAAAATGGAGATAATAACGTCCCCTTTTTGCGACCCTCGAAGTAGATTGCAATGCTGGCTTTTAAATAGACAAATGTTCCCTGTTCTGCTTCTCAGATTGCTCTGGGATCTCCTGGATGTGGGGATGCCCTCCTCTGATGCCATGCATTGCACTGGCACCATGCCCACCCAACTCTTGTGACTCCCTTCTGGCATTCCCTGGGTTTTCTGGAGGGTTGGATTTCCTCAGTTTCCCCAATCTGGAAAATATCCATGGGGAAGGAGGGGGCTGTCCATTCAATCTGCCTCTTCTCTCCTGTCCTGTGACCAGCTCGTCTCTCTCTTCTGTTGTCCCTTTCCTTGATTCCTCACTCTCAGTCCTGGTCAGTTCCTGCTTTCCCGGCCTTGGTCAGTAAAAGTCCCCTAAACCTCACTGGCTCACTCATAGAAAAGGGCCTCTCCTCTACCCAGCAGCTGTTTTAATTGAGGGCCAGTCACTATGATGCCTCTGGGGGGGAGATCCCAGGGTAATTATGACACAGGCACACACACTGGGGGTTGGGGGGGGACTGCATTTGGTGGCAGTAGGGGGGCCTAGGCTCCAACAAGCCCTGTCATTACCTGTGGATCCTCAGCAAGTCCTTTAACCGGGGGTGTGCTTTTAAATGTTTAACAACCGGCTCTCCAGAAAAATGTACCCGTAACTCATAACCTTTAAGTTGAATCTCTGTCATTAACATTTTTTCTATGCTTTCTTAAGTCTAGACAACAAACAAATCCCACAAATCAAGCCCTGATTTGCAGCATTTGCCAATTTTCAAGGTATGCAAAGCTTGAACTGAAAATGGAAATCGGTCCTTCGTAGGAACTGATTCCAGCATACCTCTACCCTTAACCCTCTCTGGGCCTCAGTTTCCCCGCTGTGTAAAATGAGAGTTGGCCTCTCCCAGCCATTATCCCAGGAACTGGATTACAAAGGAGAGCATGCCCTCTGCTATCACGTGAGCCCAAGGGTGGAAAGATATTTGCCAACTGGCATCAGGGAAGTTTCATCAGTTGATAGAGTCGGGAGGACCTGAATTCGGTTCAGACTCCAGACACTTACTAGCTGTGTGACCCTGGACAAGTCACTTTACCCTGTTTGCCTCAGTTTCCTCATCTGTAAAATGAGCTGGAGAAGGAAATGCAAACCGCTGCAGTGTCTTTGCCAAGAAAACCCCCAGTAGGGTCATGAAGTCAGATTCAACTGAAAATGACCTCAACAACACAACCCCCTTTAATTGGATGTGTGACTTCACACATCCTGACCTCAGTTTCCCCATCTGTCCCACAAGGAGGTGGTGTGTGTCTACATCTTGTTTCTCTGCTTCGGTTTTTGCTTTGCATCTCCAGGGCCTAGAACTGTATACCTGTCTGTGCCTGGTATGTGTTGGGTGATTGACTGATGGGGTGACTTCAGCTGTGCCTTTTTCAGTTCCGAAGTGTCTCGGGCAGGGCTAGGGATGGGCCCCTGGAACAGGGTGACCTCTGGTCGGGTGTGGCCAGCTTTTGTTTCTGCAGCAGCTGCCCTGGCCTTGGAGAGAGGGCTGAGGGATCGGGAGAGACGTCCTCCCTCTCTGCCTTCCCCTCCTGCCTGGGCCTGGCTGGTGCGCTGGCCTCCTCAAGGCCCTGACAAAGCCTTTTGAGGCTTACCTGGCTTTGGGGGACAGCCCGAAGTCGGGCTTCGGAGGATGAATCCTGGAGCCAGAAAGGACCTTCCCACATACTGTTGTTTGTTTAGCTCTATTGTTGCTCGGTTGTGTCTGACTGCCCATGACCCCATTTGGGGTTTTCTTGGCAAAGATACTGGAGTAGCTTTCCGTTTTACAGAGGGAGAAACTAAGGCAGAGTGAGAGTATATGATTTATCCAAGACCACATAAGTGAGATGTGGTTTAGAGGTCAGATGACTCAAAATGCATTTATTTAAGCTCTGCAATGTTTTTTCTTGCCTTCTTCTTGTCCAGCCTGGTCCTTTGCCCCCTTCCCTCTTGTATCATTTTTTTGTGTACCTCTTTGCTCTGTTTGAGAGACAGCTTGGCATAGCGGACCAAGGGCCCAAAGTAGAGTTTGGGGAGATCTTGGGGGCTTAGGAGTAGCCATGGAACCTTGGATCTGGCAAGTTCCCCACTCTGCCAGTTGTAGATAGGATGTGTCCATTAAGGAGGCCTGGGGACCTTCTGTATACCTTTCCTACAGTAGACGGGAGGAGGTCAGGTGATTTGGGCCCTTTTAAAGTGACCCTGGGGTTAAGCACAGAGATGGGGGAGACCTAGTGCGCTGGCAGGGGGGCATTCCTCAGAGTCCTGCATTAAATGTCCATGGCTAACAATTGCTTTAAATTTTTAAGCATTTTTGTTGATACCTTTTGTTTTTTATATCACACTGCTTTCTGCTTTCCATCATACCTTGAGAGCCTTCTTCTTCAATTAACTGAGACCAAAAAAAGTAGACATTGTTCTTACCTGCTAATGAGTTGACTACATCTCAGTCTCCTTTTCTCCTGGCCTTTCTGGGCCATCCTGACTCATCCATCCATCCATCCTGGCTTACCTGGTTATTTTGTGGAGTGAGAGATGGGCTAGGTTTTTGGAAACTGCCCCTCCTCCATAAAACCCTCCCAGATTCCCCCTCCCCTCCCCCCCACCTTCCTCCCCACTTCAAAAGTGATCTCTCTCTGTCTCTGTCTCTCTCTCTCTCTCCATTTTTCCTATAGTATTAAGACTAGACCTGTCATTAACTAGCCCCTGTCCTACAATGTCTTCTATTATAGCTATTTCTGTATACAACTCATCCCTCAACAGATCAAGCCCATTAGATTGTAAGCTCCATGAGGTCAGGGACTTTGAGGTTTTCCACCTTTGTATCTGAGCACAGGGCCTTTTGTGTACAAGTTAACAATAAAGCATTCCATACTGTGTTATTATAATGACCAAGTCTGGCCCAAGAAGAATAGAGAAAATGTGTCACTTCCTTGCAGGGGTGGGGGGTCTACAGGTATGAAATAATGTGCCTACTTTCAGACTTTTTTGTGTGTTGAGGGCCGATCTTAAGAGTCTGATAAGGGTTTAAGATCCAAGGCAGAGTTTGACCTCTGCTCAGGCTTTCACCCCAAAGGGCTCGAAGGATTAAGTGGTACGGCTCCCCAAATTCCTTCCTGATAAAGAGGTCACTGAGATATCCCTTCTCTCTCTTTGAACCTTAGGTTTACATATTTACTCCTCTATGCAGGTGGCGCCTAGGCGCCTGGGAAAACCTTGGAATCTACAGCCCAATCTAGGAACCCTGATAGGAGGAAATTCATGATTGTTACATCCTCAGCAGATGTTCTGGGGAATATCTCACGGGGAGGACTCTTTGAATTTAGGCTAGATTTTCCCTATATATTCTGTGCCCTCAGATGAATAAACTGAGTCAGTAATTCTACTCCTCCTGGCCCATGTCATAAGTTATTTCATGCCTCTCCGTTCGGTGTACAATCTGGTTGCAGGCAACATTTGTGTTGCTTTGTTTCCCCAAACTCCTCCCCCCCTTTTTTTTTTAAAGTTTCTTTTCCTCTGATTCTTTGTTGCAAGGGATCAGGGAGGGATATGTTCTCAAATGAAGGCACTCGCTCATTCTCTCTCTGTCTCTGACTCTCTCTGTGTGTCTCTGTCTCTCTCTGTCTCTCTCTTTCCCTCCTCTCTCCCTCCTTCTGTCTCCCCCTCTCTTTCCTTCCCTGTTCTAAGGCCCCTCCCAGCTCTGACCAAATAAATGAAGGAGCCATGGTGCAGTTTGTGATCAGAAGGGCTTGTGAGGGTCTGGATTCTGGCTCTATGACTTGGGGCATTATCCTAATTCAGTAAACGAAGAAACTGAGGCTCATTGGCTCAGTCACTGGCGCTACCCCCACCTCCTAAAGCTGATGTGGGAAAAGTGCATTGGAGACTTTGATCTTCTTTATATAAATGAAAGATGTTATAAGAAATGAATTTTAATAGATGATTATTCATGGATTGGTTTATTTTTTGGCTTTTTCAAAGGGAGGCTTATTTCAAAGGTATAACAAGAACAGACACACAAGTATCTTCCCCAACCCCTGGGGGACATTATTCCCCTCCCTCCCCATCATATAACCTCTCTAGCTCTGGGGAAGGGAAGGAGATTGAGTTCACAGTTTAACTTGGTTCCTCTAGGACCGGCCCACCAAGTTCCTGGTCCAAAGCCCCTCAACACCCTGGCTTCTTCCCTGCTGGGCTGGGCAGTATTCAAGCTGGAATCCTGGCTCCAAAGTCTCTGTGGCTCGGCCCCTTGGGTCCAGAGGGGGCTCCGGTACTCAGGCCTAGAACAGGAAAGGACAGGCCAAAGCCTAACCCAGTTCTCGAGGGCAGAGGGAGAGTGGGACAGTAGCCCTTTCACCACACTCAGCTCAGTTCATGGTGGCTGTGATGAGACCTTCACCCCCTGGAAGAAGGGGGATCTGATTATTAGGGTTGTTATAAGGTAAAGGAATTGAATGTTAAGTGCCACAGGCTGTAAGTGGGCCCTGGTCCCGAATGGAAGGTCTCTCTCCGTCTTCTAACTGTGGTCCAGACGCTTTGGCTCTCAGAGTTCAGCAACTCTGAGAAATGGGAGGAATAATACTCAGGTTCCCATGAGAGTGAGAACCACATTTGTGAACAGGAAGTGTAATGGAGGCAGGCCTGACCTGCAGAAGGAGGAAGAAGAAGAGGAGGAGGAGATCATTGTGTGTGGTAGAGGGGCTCTGGCTTGGAAGCCAGGGAGCCCCAAGTTTGAATCTAGGCCCAGCTATTTCCTGGCTATGTGACCCTGGCAGAGCCACCTCACTCTCTGTGCCTCAGTTTCCTCATCTGTAAAGCGGGGGGTCATAATAGCACCTGGCTCCCAAATGCATGTAAGAGATGCTGGCGTCACGTCTAACATTCAGAACTGACGAACACTTTAGGACTTGTCTCCTCTAACTTCTTCATCTTAGAGAGGAGGAGACTGAGGTCAGGGAGGACCCAAGATCTGGAGCCAGAAGGGACCTCAGAGGCCATCTAATGCAACTTCCTCTTTTTCAATGGGGGAATGGGGAATTGGCCTACCTAGGGCTGGCAGAAACCTTGCATTCCTCATTTAGCAGGGAAAGCTGAGGCCCAGTGAGGTTGTTAGAGGTAATACTGGAGCAGGGAACAGGCCTAGGATAGCGGCTGGGCTATTGCTGTTTTTGTCCAACACCCTGCTTTGCTCCTGCTTTCCAGAGAGCCCACAATGGCACCAGGCAGGGCAGCTGGGGGCCCCAGGGTGGGTGTGCCCCAACCCAGACCTGCTCTTGGGGGCTGGGTTTTCTCTTATCGGGACGGGTACAGCCCCAGGAGCCCAGTGAGTGCTGGGTCTTTCCTGGCCTCTGGCTTCGAGCTGCTGATTCAGACCCCTGTGGACAGAGCTGCTTGGACTCTGCTCTCCTCCCAGGGGACCAGCCTTGCCCTTCGAGTCAGGTCCTGGTGGCACCTGGTACAGGTGTCAGGTCCCTGTGAGGATGGGGGTGGGGCATGATGGGCCTCCCGTGAATGGCTTGGGGACAGCTCATTCGACTAGACCTTTCCATGGTTCTCTGGTCCAATGGCCGAGCTGGCTTTGCTGGCTCAGCTTTGTGGGCCTAGATCGGGGGCTGGGGCCATCACCAGGCTCCTGGGACTAGACACTAACCTGCCTTTGAAAATAGTCACTGGGCATTAGTCAGTTGTGTCTCAGTGGGGGAGGGGGGTACCTAGTGCATAAAATGTCAGAGATGGGAGGGAGCTTAGAACAAGGAAGGTCAGAGCTAGGTGGGAGCTTAGAATAGGGAAGGTCAGAGTTGGGAGGGAGCTTAGAACAGGAAATAGAAGAGGTGAGAGGGGCCTTAGAATAAGGGGAAGTCAGAGCTGGGAAGAGCCTTAGAACAAGGAAGGTCAGAGCTGGGAGGGACCTTAGAATAAGGAATGTCGGAACTAGAAGGGGCCTTAGAAGAGGGAATGGCAGAGCTGAGAGGGAGCTTAGAACAGGGAAGGTCAGAGTTGGGAGGGAGCTTAGAACAAGGAATGTCAGAACTGAGAGGGTCCTTAGAAGAGGGAATGACAGAATTGAGAGGGAGCTTAGAACAGGGAATGGCAGAGGTGAGAGGGGGCTGAGAATAGGGGAGGTCAGAGCTGGAAGGGCCTTTAAAACATGGAATGTCAGGTCTCGGAGGAGCCGTAGAGCATGGAATGTCAGGGCTGGGAGGGGCCTTAAAGACCGTTCAGTCCAGCTTCTTATTATGCAGAAGTTAGTAGAGGGGAGGAGGGGAACTGCTCCAGCTCCTGAGTGGGAAATTTGGGCCTAAAACACAGGTTTCCTTGTTCTCAGTTGAGGGTTTTTCATCAGCTTTGGGGTGGGGAATGTGGGTGTTCTAGATTCCAGCCTCTGCTCCTAGATCCCTTTCCTTTCTTCTAGAGCCCTCTAGCCTGGTGTTGACCATCTTACCAAGGGCGGTCTCCCTTTCCTGCCACCCCGGTCCCTCCCTGGCTTCCTCCCTGCTCCCCTCCCACTTCCCTTGCCGAGCTGGGCCCAGAGGCAGACTGAGGCACAAGCAGGTGAGCCATCTCAGCCCCGGCCCCCAGGGTGCAGCCTTAGTTCCCAGGGCTGGCAGGGAGGAGCCTGGGCACCAGCCTGGGGTAGAATTCAGTGGGTTGGAGGGTATGAGTCACCGCAGCCTGGCCGGGCCCTGGAACAGCCTGGACCAGCCACACCCAGAGACAGGCTTCCAGACTCTGGAATTGCTGCTTGAAATAGCTTGCAGTTTGGAGAAAGGTAGAGGGGAGACAAGATTAGCCCAGACCTCCCTTGCTGTGACCTCCTGTGGTTCTCTACAAAGAAACACTGACCAGCGGAGCATCCCCCCCCCCAATCCAGCTCTGCTCACAGAGATAAATTCCTGAGGGGACTCAACGCTTTGTCTAGGATTGGACCCGACCATTGGTGGCATCCTGGTGTTTATTTCTTGTGATTCAGGGAGGGACAGAGACTCAGAGGGGACAGATGTTCTCTTTTTGACAGGAGAATGTCAAACCTGGAAGGGTATATCTGGTATAAGCCCCTCATTTTGCAGATAGGGAAACTGAGAAATGGTAGAAGGGAAGCTCCTAAGGGCAAATTTTGTTGGCCTTTGTACGCTGGTCACTTAGCAGTGTTGGGCACACAGAAGGTGATTAATCAATGTTTGTTGATTAAATGGTTGACTTGGAAAAGAGCCTGGCCAAGATTAGTCCCGTAAGTAGGGTGGCTGAGGGAGGGCATTAGTGATGGAAAAACCAGAGGAGCTGATACTGACAGGAGGCAGTGTCCTGTCTATATGGGGGAAAGAACTGAGGGCCCGAGTTCAAATTCCACTTGACCATTTGCTAGCTCTGAGACCTCCGTCCCATTCCCTGTTACCTAGCCTTGGTTTCTCCAGTCATAGAGTGAGAGTTTGGACCAGAGACGATTTCCAAGTTTGCTTCTTGTTTGTCAGCTTCTCTTCCTACCCCCTGTGCCCTCCACGGCTGGCTGGTGGGGGCTAAAAACAGAAGGAGTCACCCTGGTGGGGTCTTGGGGAATCTCCTCACATACAAAGAAGGAGTCTTGGTCCTCTATGAACGACAGTTCTCGCCCTGCCACAAAATAACCTGGCATGATGAGATAACAGCTTCACTCTTCCTTCCAGCTCTGTGTGTGGTCACCAAGGTTGGAATTCTTTGTTTTTTTAATTGAAATAACTTGGTGCCTTTAAAAAAAATGGGGGGAGGGGAACTTTGTTGCTGTTAGCTCAGTATTACCCATGAGTGAGTGAGGACTGTTCCATGGGAAGAGATGTGGTGAGATCCTAGGATTGTGGGTCAGAGGGTGAGTACTCCAACCTCTTCATCCTGCGGCGGATGAAATTGAGGCCCAAGAGGTTAAGTGATTTACCCAAGGTCATATGGGCAGTAAGCATCAGAGGGCAGATTTGAACCCAGGGTTTTTTGCTCCCAAGTTACTATTCTTTTGCTGGACCAGATCACCTCTCAAACTCAGATAGGTTCAATTTGAGCTCTTGATAAATTACCAGATGCTGGCTGGAGTTTCACGGGCTAAGCAGCTTCTGATTCAACCTCTTCATTTTACAGATGAGGAAAGCTGAAAATAAAGTGGCAAATGCAGGATTTGAACCTAGAGCCTCTAACTCCAAACTATTTCTCTATTTTCCTTATTGGAAAAGTGATAGGGAGTGTCAAGGCCCGTGTGGGAAAGGAGAAAAAAATTTGCGTTTATAGCCCCAGATCCAAGTCTGGGCTCCATCATCTCTTCCCTCTACCACCATTCTGTGAACCTTGGTTTCCCCATTTGTAAAAGAGGAATAAGAATGCTCACTGCCCTCTTTATCCAATGATCCCCCTTTATAATAAGCATGGCATTTGTCTGTTTGCACCTCTCAGGGGATCACGTGCTGGGGCCAGAGAGGAAGGACTCTGGAAGCCCACAGGCAGGCGGAGAACTGGAGGAAGCCAAGCCTGGGCTCGGGCTTGGAGCCAAGCGGGCTTCAAAGCTTGTCTTGGTTGGGGAGCCGCCCGTGTTCTTCACTGTAGACGTCTAGATTGATCGTAAACTCGTATTACAAGGATCCTATAGTAAAGTTTTACACAGATGTATCACTAATGTAACGTGTGCTCAAATGAGATAATGTGCATTAGGTTGTTTTCCATCTTTAAGGCTGCCTAGAGATGTAAGGTATCAGGGTACTGTGGTGTGGAGGGGCCCCACAGCTCACCAAGACTTCTGCCCCAGAGTGTAGGTACCACGGCAGCCCAAACCCGAGTATCTGAAATGCTTAGCAGTCACAGTTAGCCAGTGGGTGAAGACTTTTTGTAACCAGAGCAGCTCAGTTAACTGTATACAGGGGCACACAGGGCTGTAATCTCTGGCAGGACAGGATGCCCCCACACCTACGAAATCAGAGGTCCATAGGGCTGAAGTCCATCTTACATGCATATTCACTCTACAGCATCTGGGCATTTGTATTAATTCCTTCCATTTGGAAAATCTTTTTGAATTAATTTACCTACAGTTGAAACTTTAGCAAAATCGTAAGTGTGCATTTTTCTTAAGAGTAGAAAAGAATATAGCAGAGGGCTCATCACCATGTAGTAAAGAGTGTTTTCATACTCATGGAGCAGTCAGTGCATCTGCGTTTGACACAATTAACCTTTTGTTTGAATATGTTCACCTTGAGAAATGTTGAAAATGTTACCTACATAGTCACCATTTTAAAATTTGTTTTTATTGTGGCATGCATGTAAGAGAATTTTCTATTATGGAGTCAGGATGAAAGTCAGAGAAGATAATGGAACTTTATAGGAAGGAAGGGAAGGAGGGAGGAAGGAAGGAAGAAGGGAGTGTGAGAGGGAGGGAGGGAGAGAGGAAGAAAGGAAAGAAGGAAGGGAGGGAGGGAGGAAGGAAGGAGGGAGGGTGAGAGGGAGGGAGGGAGAGAGGAAGAAAGGAAAGAAGGAAGGGAGGGAGGGAGGAAGGAAGGGAGGGAGGAAGGAAGGAAAGGAGGGAGGGTGAGAGGAGGGAGGGAGAGAGGAAGAAAGGAAAGGAGGAAGGGAGGGAGGAAGGAAGGAAGGAAGGAAAGAAGGAAGGAAGGAAGGACGGAAGGAAAGGAGGGAGGAAGGAAGGAATGGAGGGAGGGAAGAAAGGAAGGAGGGAGGGAGGGAAGGAAGGAAGGAAGGAAGGAAGGAAGGAAGGAAGGAAGGAGGGAGGGAAGAAGGAAGGGAGGGGAGGGAGGGTGAGAGGGAGGGAGGGAGAGAGGAAGAAAGGAAAGAAGGAAGGGAAGGGAGGAAGGAACGGAGGGAGGAAGGAAGGAAAGGAGGGAGGGTGAGAGGGAGGGAGGGAGAGAGGAAGGAAGGAAAGAAGGAAGGGAAGGAGGGAGGGAGGAAGAAAGGAAAGAAGGAAGGGAGGGAGGGAGGAAGGAAGGGAGGGAGGGAGGGAGGAAGGAAAGGAGGGAGGGGGAGAGGGAGGGAGGGAGAGAGGAAGAAAGGAAAGAAGGAAGGGAGGGAGGGAGGAAGGAAGGGAGGAAGGAAGGAAGGAAAGGAGGGAGGGTGAGAGGGAGGGAGGGAGAGAGGAAGAAAGGAAAGAAGGAAGGGAGGAGGGAGGAGGAAGGAAGGAAGGAAGGAAGGAAGGAAGGATGGAAGGAAAGGAGGGAGGAAGGAAGGAATGGAGGGAGGGAAGAAAGGAAGGAGGGAGAGAAGGAAGGAGGGAAGGAAGGAAGGAAGGAGGGAGGGAGGAAGGAAGGAAGGGAGGGAGGGGGGAGAGAGGAAGAGAAGAAGGAAGGCAGGAAGGAAGGAAGGAAAGGAGGGAGGAAGGAAGGAATGGAGGGAGGGAAGGAGGGAGGAAGGAAGGAAGGAAGGAAGGGAGGGAGGGAGGGAGAGAGGAAGAGAGGAAGGAAGTGCCCCTTGGTACAGTCAGGCCACATTTGGAGGAGTGTGTGCTGTTCTGGGCACTACGTTTCAGGATGTGTGTTAACAACCATAAGATCGTAGAGATGGACTGGAACGGGCTCCACTCCAAAGTCAGCTAACATATCCATTTTGCAGAGGAAGACACTTCCTGGCTTGCCCTGGGTTGACGGGCTGGTTAAGTATAATGAGGGAGAATTTGAACCCAGCCCCTCCTGACTCTGAGGCCAACTTTTTATGCCCCTGGATGCACCGGGCAGCTGGTGGCACAGTGGAAAGGACATTTGGAAGGAGGTCAGGAAGATCTGGGTTCAGATCACAGCCTCAGGTGCTTATTAGCTAGTTGACCCTGGTCAGGTCATTTAACCACTATCTGCCTCAGTTTTCTCAACCACAAAATGGAGAAGATAATAGCACCTGCCTTGTATAGTTGTGTTGTGAGGATCAGACATATCTGTGAAACCTTAGCACAGTGCCTGGCACACAGTAGGTGCTCAAGGGCTCATTGCCTTTCCGCAGCGCTCCCCGTCACAGTGCTGTTCCAGAGGAGGACGGCCTCAGGGCGTTGGAGCAAAGCACTTCCCAGCGCTATGGGCCCGCCCCCCCCCCCAGCTGGAGGTCTCCCGTCCTGCTACTGATAAAGCCGCATCCTTTTGGATGGGACACTGTGGCTGTCACTCTCTGGACCTCAGTTTCCTCATCTGTAAAACAAGGCAGTTACGCTAAGTGACCTCTGAGATCTCTTTCAGCTCCACATCTAGCAGCCATGAACTCTAGCTTCTTCCCCTCCAGGGGCTCAGTTTCCACGCTAGGTTTGAGGGGCCCAGCTCCAGGCTCTGCAGAGCTAGTTACAAGGCAGCCTGTGCAGCCTCCTTCCTAAGGGAGGATTCTTTCTCCCTGATTCACTTCTCTGCCTCACACTGAGGACGAGCAAAGGTGTTTGATTCTTTTTAATTTTTTTTTTTAATTTGGGATCATCTTCCTGATTATCCAGTACTTGGAGTCCAGAAGATCTGAGCTCAAATCCAGCCTCAGATTAGCTGTGTGACCTGGCAAGCCTTCACATCTGTCTCCTCATCTGTACAATGGACATAATAATAGCATTTACTTCTCAAGGTGGTTGTGAGGATCAAAGGATGTGATATTTGTAAAGCGCTATTGAAGCATTATTACTATTAATATTACCTTCCTAAGCCATAACTCCAGGATAACCTTGGACGGATGCAGCCTTGTTTCTCCTTATACTAGGTGGTCTCCTGCCTCAGTGTGGTTTTGTTTGTTTTCCTTCCTTTTGGGGGGCAGCCTCCCTAGGACTTTCTCTTTCTGGTCTCCTCCCCTCTTGTCCGGCGGTTGGGTGTCTCCAGGGGCCTCTCCCATCCATTCTCTTTAGGGCTGTCCTGAGCCAGGGAGACTAGGTTGGGTTGGCTTGGCCCTCCCCCAACAGAATTGGAGCAAAAGGTGTGTGTGTGTGTGTGTGTGTGTGTGTGTGTGTGTGCAGATGTACAAGTGTGTATGGGTGTGTGTGTAGGTTGTAGGTGTATATGTCTTTATTGTGTGTGTGTGTGTGTTTGTGTTCAGATGTACAAGTGTGTATGGGTGTGTGTGTAGGTTTTAGGTGTATATGTCTTTATTGTGTGTGTGTGTGTGTTTGTGTTCAGATGTACAAGTGTGTATGGGGGTGTGTGTAGGTTGTAGGTGTATATGTCTTTATTGTGTGTGTGTGTGTGTGTTTGTGTTCAGATGTACAAGTGTGTATGGGGGTGTGTAGGTTTTAGGTGTATATGTCTTTATTGTGTGTGTGTGTTTGTGTTCAGATGTACAAGTGTGTATGGGGGGTAGGTTGTAGGTGTATATGTCTTTATTGTGTGTGTGTGTGTGTGTGTTGTGTCAGATGTACAAGTGTGTATGGGGGTGTGTAGGTTGTAGGTGTATGTCTTTATTGTGTATGTGTGTATGTGTTTGTATGCAGATGTACAGGTATGTATGGGGGGGTGTAGGTTGTAGGTATATATGTCTTTATTGTGTGTGTATGTGTGTTTTGTGCGCAGATGTACAAGTGTGTATGGGGGTGTGTAGGTTGTAGGTGTATATGTCTTTATTGTGTGTGTGTTTGTGTTCAGATGTACAAGTGTGTATGGGGGGTGTAGGTTGTAGGTGTATATGTCTGTATTGTGTGTGTGTGTGTGTGTTTGTGTTCAGATGTACAAGTGTGTATGGGGGTGTGTGTAGGTTGTAGGTGTATATGTCTTTATTGTGTGTGTGTGTGTGGGGGGGTTTGCTGACTCTCTACACCCAGAGTTAGAGAGAAATAGGCTTTGGCTAGGTGTAATGAAGGACTTGATTAGACTGCAAGCCTCTTGAGGGCAGAGCCTGTCTTTTGCCTCTTTTCATATCCCCAGGGCTTAGCCCGATACCTGCCCGTTGCTTATGGAGTGATGGGACCTCCTAAAAGCAGACCAGGCAGCCTGGGTTCTCCATTGCTGGAGTCTTCAGCAGAGGCCGGGCCGGCCCGTTGGCCTCCTGGAGGAGGCAGGGATCCCGGCTCAGAGCCTGCCCAGATGGAGTGGCCTCAGTGGCTTCGTGACTCTGCGGTCTTTGTGGTTGAGTCTGGGGTGAGAGGATGGAGGAAAGGAGATAGCTGGGCTCAGCCCCTCTGCTGGCTTGGGGGGAGGGGGCTTCCTGGAAGGCTTTTTGACACAGTTGGCTGGGAGCATGGAGACCCAATATAACCTCGGACCTGTGCCGAGGGCCTTTCCCAAGACGGGGGCTCTTGGGAGCCCTCCCTGCCCCACCCCCTTTTTTAGGCCTTCCATCTACTCCAAGCACAGATGTTGTGGGGCACTCATCTGGGAAGTTTTCTTCTGGAAATCTCTTACCCTGTAGTATTTCATTCTTTTAAAGTGATAATTATTTTCAATTAACAAAAATTTACCTTTGCTTCCTATTTAAAAGGAACAAGAAACCTTTCTAACAAATATTTCTATTAAGTTCAGTCATGTCTGACTCTTGTGACCCCATTTGGGGTTTTCTTGGCAGAGATACTGAAGTGGTTTGCTGTTCCCTTCTCCAGCTCATTTTATAGATGAGGAAACTGAGGCAAATAGGGTGAAGTGACTCGCCCAAGGTCACACAGCTAGTAAGTGTATGAGTCTGGATTTGAACTCAGGACCTCCTGCCTTCATCCACAGTGCCACCTAGCTGCCCACTTTTAAAAAGCTGTTTTCCCAAGAGCTTTACTGGAGTCTCACAAGCCCTGGTGCTTCTGGGATATCAATGGACCCAATTTATGGCTAAGGAAACTGAGGATGGGAGAGTTTAAGGGTCTGAGGGCTAATGAGTGTCAGAGGCAGGATTTGAACCCAGGTCTTCCTGACTCCATCTTGCAGTCTCTCTTTGGCTAACAGGGGCTCGAGAGCTTTAGAAATTCCCCTTGGTAATTATAATAATATTTTACATTTTTCACATATATTGTCTTTAAATATATGTTTATTGATCTCTTGTGTTTACATCACTGGTACTTCCCAACATACCCCTCCTTGCTCCCTTCCCAGAGATCCATCCCTTATAACAAAGAATAAGAAGGGGAGGGGTGTGTGTGTATGTGTGTGTGTGTGTGTGTGTGTGTGTGTGTGTGTGTGTGTGTAAGGGGGAGGGGGACAATCCTTTACATTTATCTGAGGCTGGGGAAGGACATAGGGTTTAGGGGCAGAGTGAGTCTGCCTGGGGAGAGCACACAGAATGGGGACTGACCCACATTCAGGGGTGAGTCAGGTCAACTTGACTCTCCTTCTCTTGCTGTGGGCCAGCCCTGACCTGTCTTCAGCCAAGTCCTGGCCCTATCTACATGACCTTGGATGAGTCCTTTCCTCTCCTTGGGTTCTCTCATCTGGAAAATAAAAGAGTTTCACGACGGCCTTCAGGGTCCCCCCCCTCCCCCGGCCCTTTGAGGGCTGGGCAGCTGGCGTTGCTGGACACCCTGACAAACTGCCAAGGAAGGGTCTCACTGAGACCAAGTTTTCCCACCAACATAAGTATCAGATGCCTCATCTCTTCTCCCCTTACTGGCTCACAATGGGCCCATGATGACCTTTTTCTTTTTTTTCATTTCTTTGCAGTTGGGTGGCTTTGTGCTATCCCCTGTCTGGTTCATCTACAGCCTTTTCATGAAGCTTTTTGGGAAGCCGGCTCCCCCCATCACCCTAGAGAACCCTGAGGTGAAGTACCCGTTGAGGCTGATTGACAAAGAGGTGAGTGATAGGGCCCAGCCTGGGTGGGGACGCTGAGACACCCCCGCATTGGGGATACTCCTTCCTGGGGGCCTTTGAGCAAGGGCACTGTACTGGAAAGTCAGAGGGATCGAGTGCCCTTTGAATTAGCCCCTTCTTGGTTGGACTGGGTGGGGGGCTGTGTCCCCTCTGCCTCTGGATCTCAGATCCCAGATCCCAGGTCCCATCACCAGTAGCTAATGTCTACTGAGCTCTGACTAGGTACAGAGCCGGGGGGATACTCATCTATCCCATGCACCTCTGGAGGGCTGAGTAACTCCTACCCTGGGCCTAGAGGGGCTTTGAAGAAAAATCAGAAAAGCTATTCAATGCAGAAAGCAATAGGATTCTTCTATATATTAATTTTTTTCACTTTTATTTTACATCTTTCTTTTTTTAATTAATAAAAATCTATTTTCTTTCCCTACAAACTCTTCTTTGCTCCTTCCCCCTCCCTGTGCACAGAGAATAAAAGAAAAGTGACAACCTATGTTTAGTCACGCCCCTGCATTAGCCAGGATCTGTGTTTGAGTATTCCCCTTGAGGTCACCCCTTCTCTGTTAGGAGGTGAGCTGCAGGCTTCATCACGATGAGTCATTGCATCAATCAGTAATCCTTACCGCTTTCAAAGTTGCTTGTTTCCGCTATGTCTTATTGTATACATTGCTCTCCTGGTTCTGCTCACCTCATCTTGCATCAGTTCAGACACGTCTTCCCAGGTTCTGTGAAACCACCCCCTTCCCCATTTCTTACAGCACAATAGCGTTACATCACCTTCATGTCCCACAACTTGTTCAGCCATTCCCCAACCGACGGGCACCCCCTGTTTCTAATTCTTTTCCACCACAAAAAGAGCTGCTATCAGCATTGTTGTACACATGGTGCCTTTATCTTCTTTCTTTGATCTCTTTGGGGCATAGACTTAGCATTGCTGGGTCAAAATGTATGCTTAGCTCAGTAACTTAGAGAGCCTGATTCCAAAGTTCCTAGGAGGGATTCCAGAGAAAGGGCAGGGCAGAAAGGAGGGTGTCCTAGACAGGAGGACAGAACACAGTTAAGGGACAGACCTCGTGTCAGACTGAGGAAGGCTAAATCTGAGAAATCAGAGACCGTTCCCAGACTTTAGCCCTGGGGCACGTCCAGCCTGGCTGAGCCTTCAGAAGGCACGTCCTAAGAGAAACAGCTGAATGAGCAAAGAATGTTAAGCCTGGAGGACAGAATCTATGGAAAGAAGGGAGTAAGGAGGGAAAACTGGATGTGCAGAGCTGGAAGGGGCGTCTGAGGCCCTCAATTTACAGAAAGGGAGACTGAGGCCTAGCTAGAGGGGGGAAGAGACAAGGGCAAAGACAGGACCCAGGGTCTGAGAGGCAGCCTCGATGGGTTATACTTAATTATGGGGTCCCAGAAGGAGAAACCAGGACTGGTGGGTGAAATCACAAAAAGAAAGATTTCAGGTCAGCATAAGGAATACTTTTGACTTTGGGGGGTTCTAATTGGGAAGGAGTTGCCCCAGGGGTGATGAGCCCCCCTGCCTCCCCCTGCCCTCATCACTGTAGGCATTCAGGCAAAGGTCAGATGACTGTCTAGCAGGCATTCTTGGATGAGGTGGAGGGCTGGTCCCTTCTGACTCCTGTGATTCCAATTCGGCCCAGCCCTCCTCTTTTTACCAACAGGAATAAAAGAAGGACTGTCTTATTCTTTGTGCCTGCGTCCCCAGGGCCTGGCACAAGGTGGGCATATTCATACAGGTTGATTGATTGATTGAGGTGCAATTACTTGCCCAAAGCCACACAGTTGGTTAGTAGCGGATCTGGGACTGAAGCCCAGGTCCCTGACTTAATTCAGAGCCCTCTCTTTGGCCAGGAAAGAAACAAAGATGCTCAGTGTGGGGTTAGCCTTCCCGTGTGTGCCTACCTCTGAGCTGATAATAATGGTAATAATATTCATAATAACAGCATTTACGTAGCACTCTCCTTCATCCCATGACAAGCATGATAATTATAGCTCCCATTCCTAGAGAGCTTTCAAGGCTTGCAAACCACATTCTTTCCATGTTATTTCCATCTAATCTGGGGAGTAGATATTATCATCCTCATTTTACAGATGAGGGAACTGAGGCAGGGAGCAGCCAAGTGACTCACCAGGGTTGCACAGCTTAAGCATCTCCTGACTCCAAAGCCAACGCTCTGTCCACTGGGCCGCTCAGGCCAGGTCCAGGTTCAGGCCTTGTTCCATTTGCTCCGGGCTCTGGGCTGGGGAACCCGGCTTGACTTTTTCTGGATCAGACTTAAATGTTCCACACAAACAGGAAGGACTGAAGCCGACCCACACGCCTATTAAAATTCTCTTCCTCTCCTCCCCCTTTTAAAACATGAGTTGAGTAACTTGAAAACCAGCCCTGCAGACTTTTCCTCTGTACTTCTTCCCCCGGATGACTTCATGGCTGGCCTGGCTCCCCGCTCCAGGCTCCCAGGGCCTGGCCAGGTAATGTTCCCTGACGTGACCCATTGTTTACTTTCACCAACCCTGATATGCCCACCTTCTTCTGCCCTGCAAAGTAGGGCAAGGCAGGCAGTGAGTGACTCTCCCAGCGGAGCTCCAGGGGCCTCACTCTGCAGAGGAGCTAGAATCCGCCCCACCACGCCCTGGGCCAGTGGCCAGCCAGACTGCTCTGGTGCCTTTGGGGACAGGGAGCTCACTACCTTACTCTGGGACAGCTCTCTTTACCCACATGTTTTTCCTGATGCCAGATGCGATTTCCACCCATCAACCCCTGTTAGACCTTGGGGCCAAACAGGTTCCTCTCCCTGGGACAGACCTTCACATACTGAAAGATGGTCCCTCTTGGCCCCTCTGGGTCAGGAGACCCAGCTCCCGGCTAAGCCTTCCCAGTTTCTTCAGCATGGCTTATATCGTGGGGATGCGCCTCCCCCTGTCTTGTATCGGTGCAGTCAAGAACCCGGTGTAACTTACATTTATCCCTATGAGGCATGGTCATCCCATTTTACAGATGAGGAGACTGAGACAATCAGAGGTGAAGAGGTTTATATGCGTGGAAATATGCAGCACCCTGAGAGAAGTCTCTTCCAACCTCCAGCCCTGTGACCACAGGCTCTTTGTAGACTCAAGTTGTCATCCAGCCTTTGCTGAACTGCCCCAGGGATGAGGAGCTCACTACCTCATGTCCATTGCTGGAGGTAGCTCTGCTGGTCAGGAGTTCTTTCCAGTTTATCCAACCCAAATCTGCCCCTGGGTCTCTCCTCCCTTGTCCTCTGCTCTGCCCCCTGGGACCAAGCAGAACATGGTAGCCCCTCAGATGTTGGAAGACAACCCTCATGTCCCCCAAGCCTTCTCTTCTCCAGTCTAAACACCCTCAGCTCCTTCAGCCCATCCTGGGTGCCCTGTCCTGATGAGCCATTCTGCTTTGCTGCTTAGAGGCTGTTAGGGGGCACCACAGTGCACACAGCACTGGGCCTGGAGTCTCAAGATCTGGGTTCAAATACAGCCTCAGACACTTACTAGCTGTAGGACCCTGGGCAAGTCATTCTACTTCTGCCTGCCTCGGTTTCTTCATCTGTAAAATGAGGATGATAACAGCACCCGCTTCCCAGGGTTGTTGTGAGGATCCAGTGAAATTATTATCTCATCATAAAGCACTTAGCGGTGCTCGGCACGTAAGGAGGACTTAGTAAATCCTTCTTTCCTCCCTTTCCCCTCTCCTTTGGGTCTCTCTGGGATCTCATCTGTAGGGGTATAGTCCTTCTACCAGTGTAGATTGCAACCCATCCTGGTCTGCTTGGCCTCTGGGCTTTTTGTCCATGTTCTCCCAGAAATTCCCCGAAAAAGAGTTACCAGCAAACTCTGGAGCCTGGTTTTACAGAATTTGGAGGGTTCCAAAATTGGCCTGACATCCCCTGTTCTCAGGCCTCTCCCAGCTCTGACATCCCCTGCTCTCAGGCCCCTCCCAGCCCTGACATCCCCTGTTCTCGGGCCCCTCCCAGCCCTGACATCCCCTGTTCTAAGGCCCCTCCCAGCCCTGACATCCCCTGCTCTCAGGCCCCTCCCAGCCCTGACATTCCCTGCTCTCAGGCCCCTCCCAGCACTGACATTTTGTGATTCCTTCCTTCTCTTTTCCAAGATGGGTAGAGCCCAGAGTAGCTCCTTCCCAGGGATAATAGGCCACCTCCATACCATGCCTGTAGTTAAATAATCCAGGCTCCAGCCTCACCCTCAGCATCCAGACTTCTTAGGAGTGTCTAGCCGCTCACCAAACATCCTGAGTCATTTTGTCCTGGGATGATGGTTATGTCAAGTATGAAGATGTCCGAGCAAGAAGCTTGTCAGCATAGGAAGCCTCAGGAGGCTCTTTCCAAGCCTCCCAAAACCATGAAGAAAATGAAACATGAGATTTTAAGTGACTTGCCCAGGGTCACACAGGTAGTCATGTGATCAGATCCCTAATCTAGATCTGGGAGGGCCATTCTACAGATGAGGAAACTGAGGCCCAGAAAGTCCAGGTGGCCGAGCCACCCGCCCACTGATAGTAATGGAGGAGCTCAGTAGGAGGAGGAGTTGAGGCTGGAAATGGAGGCTTGGGGCAGAGCAGAATTCCTGGGATGGTCTGTTCATTAGGTCAATAAGGAGCTAGGAATTGTTTTTGAGGAGGGACTTGATTGAATGAGAACCTGGCCAAGCTTCCTGCCCTGCCATGCCCCTCTGTCCCTACTCCTTTGTGAGGGGAGTGGGACCCCATTGGCTCCGGGCTTTTCCCTTCCAGACCTGGGTGGGAGGACACCATTCAGGTTGGTAAAATAGCTCACCTGGTCTCTAGTCTACCTTTGCCTACAGAAAATCCCCTCTCTGTCATTCCTGGTAAGAAGCCCCTGCTGAAAGACCTTTTAGTGCCCGGGGACTCACTACCTCTCAAAGCGGCTGGTTCCACCTCTGAAAAACCTCTTTTTTTTTTAAGTAATATTTTATTTTCCCCCCATGTACATGTAAAGACAATTTTTAACATTCATTTTTTGAAATTTTGATTTCTAAGTTTCCTCTCTCCCTTCCTCCTCCTTGAAACAGTAAGCACTTTTATACATGAAGAGCCCTGATTCTTAGGTTTTTCATTACACTGAGTCTCCCCATAATTCTGTGCCCTGGGTCCTAGTCAAACAATCGTCCTTAAGAACAGTGAATGCCTTTCGGCCCCCACTAGAGCCTTCTCCTTTCCAGGCTAAGCCTCCGTTAGCTCACCTGATCCTAATTGGGGTTTTCTGGCCCCAATCTGCCAGCCTCTTATGGGTGCTGGGCTCTGGTCCTCCCTGCTACAGTCCCCACCAGGACCTGGGGGGCTGGGATGGGCATTGATTACAGGTGGGGAGCAGCCACCGGCCGGAGAGATGGGGCTTTCTGTCTGCCTCAGCTCAAGCCCAGCTGGGTCACGAGGAGTAAGGGCCGCTCAGCCTTGGAAGGATAGGAGGGATAGGAGGGGGTGTTTCTGTGGGCTGCCAGCTTAGGCGCCTACAAAAGGGCTGTGGTAACAAACACCCCAAACAAAGCAGAGACGCCCATCGGCTGAGAATGCGTTTAAGAGGCACAGGGGTGAGCGTGCCCTGGACTCTGCCCCCTCTGCCTCCTATGGGGCAGTGGGGTCCGTACTGGACGCCGCCTGTAAGGCAGGGCACCGACAAGCTCTGAGTGCAGCGGGGCGGACGTCCTGGCACGGGAGAACCCAGCAACAAGGGCCCGCCTTGGGCCCGGCTCTGCTGCTCTGACTGCTGTTGATTAGAACGTTGTTTTTCTCCCTCCCAGAGCATCAGCCATGACACACGGAGGTTCCGGTTCGCCCTCCCGTCTCCACAGCACGTGCTGGGCCTCCCCATCGGTGAGTCCTCTCCTGGCCTGCTCCACGGGGGGTCTGACAGGCCACGCTTGGGCCCCAGCAGTGGGGATGGGGAGGGTGGGAGGAGTGGGTGCTGGGAGCTCATGGGGCAGGGGTCTGAGCTGAGCCGCTTCCAGCCTCCCTCTTCATTTTCTTGTGCGTTTTCTGTGTGGCCCGTCTGGTCCCTGGACAGATTCTCGTGAACACCCAGTGTCTTAACCATAGGTGGTCAATAAGGCTGTGAGCTCTCCTGGTCACAAACATTCTTCCTTTCGTTTCAGTTTAATTTTTCTTCTTCTTTCTTCTCCTCTTCCTCTTCTTCCTCCTCCTCCTCCTCTTCTTCCTCTTTCTCCTCTTCCTCCTCCTCTTCCTCCTCTTCCTCCTCCTCTTCCTCTTCTTCCTCTTACTTCTCCTCTTCCTCCTCTTCCTCTTTCTCCTCTTCCTCCTCTTCCTCTTCTTCCTCCTTCTCTTCCTCTCTCTTCTCCTCTTCCTCCTCCTCCTCCTCCTCTTCCTCTTTCTCCTCTTCCTCCTCTTCCTCTTCTTCCTCCTCCTCTTCCTCTTCTTCCTCCTTCTCTTCCTCTCTCTTCTCCTCTTCCTCCTCCTCCTCCTCCTCTTCCTCTTTCTCCTCTTCCTCCTCTTCCTCTTCTTCCTCCTCCTCTTCCTCCTCTTCCTCTTCTTCCTCCTTCTCTTCCTCTCTCTTCTCCTCTTCCTCCTCCTCCTCCTCTTCCTCTTTCTCCTCTTCCTCCTCCTCCTCCTCTTTCTCCTCTTCCTCCTCTTCCTCTTCTTCCTCCTCCTCCTCTTCCTCTTCCTCCTCCTCCTCTTCCTCCTCTTCTTTTTCCTCCTCGGTCGTGATCTTTTCATTTGGCATTATCTCTCTTTGGGGGTGGGGTGGGGGGGTGTACGTTTTGTATATATGCATATAGGTCCCATATATACATATGGAAATGTGTGGATGGATATGTGTCCCTTCTCTGCCCCATCCAGAATTCTACTTTTTGTGATCAAAAATAAGAAAGAAAGGGAAAATAAAGGCAGTTCAACCAAACTGATGGTCCCACCCTGGAGTAGGACAAGGTAGGCAGGCTTCCTTAGCTGTCCTGGCCAAAGAAGGGGAGACAGTCTCTCCTTTGAGGCTGGGAACTCATTTTTTAAAATTTAACTTATATTTAGGCTAAATGTAAATGCCAAATCAAATGGGCATTTTCATATATGTAATAAAAGGGAAAAAAGTAAGTCGTACCGTTTCCGTGTGAGCTCCTGGTGACTCAGCCTGAAGGCCAAGGATGAATGTCTGGCCTGGGGACTCCAATTTTGTACTCTGGCGTTCCAGGGTGCTGATTACTGGGTGTCAACCACTGGGCCATGACTGCTGGGAGTGGGGATGAGCTCCCACTGCTGCTGCCTCTTCCTCCTCTTCTTCCTGCTCCTCTTCTTCTTCTTTCTTCTCCTCTTCCTCCTCCTCTTCCTCTTCTTTCTTCTCTTCTTCCTCCTCTTCCTCTTCTTCCTCTTTCTTCTCTTCCTCCTCCTCCTCTTCTTTTTCCTCCTCAATCGTGACTTCTTACTCTGATCTCTTCAAGCTTGCTTCACTCTCTAATTGCCATATTCCAATATAATCAGTTTCTTTTGCGACACGCGATGCATTTCGCAACATGGCACACCATCCCAGTATCTATGCCAAGAAAACTCCAAATGGGGTCACAATGAGTCGGCCACGACTGAGCAACAATAGATTTCACCCCATGATTCTGAAACGGGCCACCAAGGGCTTCCCCAGGCTGATTGGCCAAGGGCGGTCACAGCACAAACAAGGGGAGGAATTCCTACCCTAGAGGGCCACCCTGAAGCCCCCACCTCCTGCTCCATCCTCCCTCAGGTCAGCACATTTACCTCTCAGCCCGGATTGATGGGAACCTGGTCATCCGGCCCTACACCCCAGTGTCCAGTGACGATGACAAGGGCTTCGTGGATCTGGTTATCAAGGTGAGCCCCCCTCCCCCAAGGTGCCCGGGCGGGCGGCTGCCAACTGCTGGCATTGGAGAAGCCTGGGCATTTCTTCTGCGCCATCAAGGAGCTGTTCTTCACTACTTTTTTTTTTCCATCGTGGGACTGGAGCCCCCTGTTTAACTTCTAGCTAAGGAGATCCAGCCATCACTATCCTTCAGAATCTGCTGAATTTCCGTCTCCCTCCCCCACTCCCCACACGCCAGGGGCTTACAGATTTCTGTGGCCCAGCAAAGCCTTTGGAGGCGCCATGCTGGCCAGGAGGTGTTGAGAGATATTACAAAGGTAAAATCTGGATCTGTGGGGTGGGAGAGAGCGAGAGGTGAGAATGAAACGGGCCAAAGGCTGTGAACCTGCAGGACTTGGGGGCCGGTGGTGCCCTTGGGGGTGATAGGCAAACCAGGAAGGGAGGAGGAGTTGGTGGGGGAGGGGGGGCAATGATGAACACGTTGAGTGTGAAGTGCCTGGTGGACATCCTGTGATGCCCAGTAGACAGCTGGAGATGTGAGACCAGCTTTTAGGAGAGGTGAGGGCAGCAAGATAGCGATGGTCATTAAATCTATAGGAGCTGATGACTTTCACTTGTCCCTAGGGTCCAATGTGTGTGGAGGTAGAGAGGGAGTGGTGAGGCTGGGCCTTCTCGCCATGTAGGGTGGAGTCATCCCAGGGCATCAGGCAGTGGTGTGAGCATGTTTTGGGGGTGGAGTCGTAGGGGCTGGAGAGGCAACCAGAATACCCCACCCCCAAAGACCCTTTCCTGGGACTGTATGACACAGGGCTGGGAGGAACCTTAGAGACCATCCAGGCCAATGAGCCTGAGGTGAAGGGACTGCCCATAGCATCACGTGACCAGCAGAGTGGGGTTCAAACCCAGCTTCTCAGACGCTGAATTCAGGGCTCTCTTTCTTCTTCTCTCTCTTCCTTATTCCCTAACCAGCCTGCCAAAGGGTCTGAAATTTCAACTTGAGGTATGCACTTCCTAGGGGGGACTTAGAATTTTAGATACAAGCATCCTTGGGGAGCCTAATGTTGCTATGTGACCTTGAGTAAATGACGGTCTTCTCTGGACCTGAATGATGGGAAGCTGTATGGTGCAATGGGAAGAGCATTGACCCTCTAGGCCAAAGACCTGGGTTCAACTCTTACCTCTAATGCTTATTGCTTATGTGACCCTGAGTCATATTTTCCTCTTTGTGCCTCAGTTTACCCATCTGTGAAATGTTGGACCTACGTGGGCTCTGAGGTCCCTCCCAGCTCCATGCCTAGGATCTCATGATTCCCTACCCACAGAATGAAAGGGGTGATTTTATTGCTAAGGTCTCTCCCAGCTCTGACATTAAATTGTTATCAATCATTTTTATGTTACTTTTACTTAAGTGGTCAGGTTGTTTTCCAATAGGACTGCTCCTTGAGGACTCAGGGTGGTGGTGGGGGGGGGAAGATAAGGGTCAGGGCTAATGAATGAGAAGGATGGGCCCTGCTGGGGGGCCCAGGGCAGCCAGGAGATAGCTAGAAGCCCCCCAGTTTGGGAGGTGCCCCCAGGAGGAGGGGCTGACCCAGACTATAGATGGCTGCTGGCCTTGGGGTTTGACTTAAATGGTGGTGGTGGGGGCAATGTTTTCTAGATTTACTTCAAAGACACGAATCCTAAGTTTCCTGCTGGCGGGAAGATGTCCCAGTACCTGGAGAATCTGAAAATTGGTGACACCATTGACTTCAGAGGCCCCAGTGGACTGCTGGTCTACCGTGGTAAAGGTAAATTGGTTTCAGCTTTTGCCATCTTGTGTTTTTTACATCACCTTGACTTCCAAAGAGATCCTTCTCCTTTTACCCAGTGAATAACAAAGAACGTAACAGAAAATGAGGGGAAAAAAGCAAAGGAAAAACAAGGCAGTTGATTAAAACTAGCCAACATATAGCTTGAGTGCTTCTGTCTGCACTCTGGGTCTGTCACCTCTGTAGCAGGAGGTGGGCAGCACCTTTCATCATCAGTTCTGTAATTGTGGTTGGTCATTGTGTTTCTGAGAGTTATTAAGTCTTTCAAAGTCTGCTCATCTTTGTAATATTGTTGTTATCGCATAAATTGTTCTCTCCTGGTTCTGCTCATTTCACTTGGCATCAGTCCATACAAGCCTTTCCAGGTTTTTCTGAAAGCATCCTGCTCATCACTTCTTATAGCACAATAGTATTCCATCATATTCATATACCATAAATTGTTCAGCTATTCCCCAATTGATGGGCACCTTCTTAGCTTCCAATTCTTTCCCATTGCAAACAGAACTGCTATAAATATTTTTGTACATATGGGTCCTTTTCCTCTTGCTTTGATCTCTTTGGGGTATAGACCTAAAAGTGCATCAATCCTGCATCAAAAACAGTGTAATGAAAGGTAATTTCTTTCTTGCTCCTGTAATTTGTTTATGTTACCATTTATGTCCAAGTCATTGGGCACTTATCTTGGCACATGGTGGAAGGTTTAGGTTAGACCTGGTTTCTTCCAGACTACTTTCCACTTTTCCAAACAGTTTTTGAAGAATAGTGAGTTTTTTCCCCAATAGCTGGGATCTTTGGGTTTATCAAACAGTAGGTTGTTGGGCTCATTTGCTTTCTATGTGTTTCTTACCTGGTATTCTGCTGATCAACATGTTTATTTAAGCACTACCTAATTATTTTTGTAATTGTACATCTGGTACTGTTAGTCCCCCTTCCTGCTTTTTTTTTTTAAATTAAAAGTCATGGGGGCAGCTAGGTTGAGCAGTGGATAGAGCACTTGGCCCTGAAGTCAGGAGGACCTGAGTTCAAATCTAAACTCAGACCAAACACTTGACACTTACTAGCTGTGTGACCCTGAGCAAGTCACTTAACCTCAATTGCCTAAAACAACAACAAAACAAAAAAAACCCCTAAAAGTTATAACTATTTATTCACTGAAAGTCACAAATATGTTAGAGAGTGAAGAACCTCTTTTTTTATTAATTAATTTATTTTTCGTTTTCAGCATTCATTTCCAGGTTTCGAGTTTTAAATTTTCTCTCCCTCCCCAAGATAGCATGCAATGTGATATAGGCTCTACAAATACATTCCTATTAAACATATTTTCACGTTAATCGTGTTGTAAAGAAGAGTTAGAACCAATGGGAGAAATCACTAGAAAGAAGAAACAAAACAAAACAGAAGGAAAAAAAAAGAGCAAATAGTCTGCTTCGATCTGCATTCAAACTCCATGGTTCTTTCTTCTTTGTGGATCCCATTTTCCATCATGAGACCTTTGGAGATGTCTTAGATCCTTGTATTGCTGGGAAGGGCTAAGTCTATCACCATTAGTCATCACACAACAGGGCTGTTACTGCTTTTTTTTTTTATTAGTTTTCCTTTATATTCTTGACCTTTTGTTCCTCTAGATGAATTTTGTTTGTATTTCTACCAGCTCCATAAAGTAATCCCTTAGTCATTTGATTGATATGAATAAATAAAATAATCTAAGTAATATCATTTTTATTCTATTAGTTTGGTCCACCCATGAGCAGGTGATATCTTTCTAGTTATTTAGCTCTGGTGTAAAGAGTCATAATTGTGCTTCTATGGTTCCTGTGTTTGTGGATGCAGATGGAAGGCAGAATTCCAAACATTTTATATTTACTATAGTTATTTTAAGTGGAATTTCTCCTTCTCTTTCTTCCTGCTGGATTGTGTGGGTAATATGCAGAAATAGGGACGAGTTATGTGGGTTTGCTTTACGCCCTACAGCTTTACCAGAGTGGTTCATCGTCTCAGCTGGTTCTGCAGATAACACTCTCAGACCATGACATCATTGGCCCAAATCCGTCATTTTGTTTCCTCTTTAATTCTGCTTATTCCCTCTGTCTCTTTTTCTTACCTTATTGCTACACTTAGCTTTTCTGGCACTATGGCGAGTGGGAGGGCTGACAATGGCCATCCTGTTCCCCCCCACCACCATGTTATGGGGGAGTCTCTAGTTTACCCCCATGACAGATAAGACTGGCTCTTGCTATCAGATAGGTTCTACTTTGCATATCAAGGACATGGCCATGTATTCCTATGGTTTCTAGGTTTTTTCTTTCTTTTTTTAATCTTTTCTTGTTTTGTTTTGGTTTCTAGGTTTTTTCAGTAGGAATGGGTGTTAGATTTTGTTGAAAATTTTCTCTGCATCTATTGATAAAATCAGGCAGCGAGGTGGCACTGTAGTGCCTGGAGCACTGGGCTTAGAATCAGGAAGACTCATTTTCCTGGGTTCAAATCTAGCCTCAGATACTTACTAGCTGTGTGACCCTGTGCAAGTCACTTGCCCGTTTGCCTCAGTTTCCTCATCTGTAAAATGAGCTGGAGAAGGAAATTGCTCTAGTATCTTAACCCAAAAAACTCCAAATGGGGTCACAAAGAATCAGATATGACTGAACCCAATGAACAGTGACAAAACAGTATCACCTGATTTTTGTTTTTAACATGGTCAAATGGGTTTCTAGTTTTCCTGAGAGTGAAGCAGCTCTGCATTCCGGCCGTAAACCCCACCAGGGCAAAGTTTGTAGTCTTTGCCATGCCACGCTATAGTGAAAAGTGCATTTTTCACCTCGTCTTCAAGGCCAGTCATCCTGATTATTATAATTATGCAGCCTTCAGGTTCACTTTTAATTCAGAAAAGGTGAATTATTTATCCAAACAAGACCCTAGCTTTCTTGCAGGTTTCTGTAGTCTTCACGTGGGACTTGGGGGAAGGAGTCCTTTGATGGACCTGCGTTTCGATCACCTCTGGGCTCTGTTCTGGGTGGGTGAGCTGGGGCAATCCCTCCGGCTCTCTGGATGTTACACATGGAGGCTGGGGTGATGACGGCCCACGTCCTGGCCCTAGCTCTGGTTTTTCACATGGCTGCTTTGGTAGCTTCCACATCTGCCCCCCATGTAGGAGGCACGTTTTCAAAGCTCCTGGGTCCCTCTTGGCTTCCTATAATGGTCTGTCTTCTAGGGATGTTTGCCATCCGCCCCGACAAGAAGTCAGAACCTGCCATCAAGATGGTGAAATCACTGGGCATGATCGCAGGAGGGACAGGTAGGTGAGGAAGAATCTTTGGGGCGCTGGGCTCCACTTGCCCGCCCCGCCTGCTTCAGCTTGGAAGCTGGGCTCCCTGGGGCCCCCTGGTGGGACAAGGCCCTCCCTGGCTGCCACAGTGGAGGTGGATCACGCAGAGCCTGGCAGTTTAGATAAACAGTCCCTTTGATAAAAATGTCCAACACTCTTCCCTTAAAGGCAGGCCCCAAGGTTGTAAGAAGCAGCCCAAGAAAGTGAGGGCAGGTAAAGGTTGTTAGCAGCTTGTGGACAGTTGGTAAGGGCGTCCCCTGGGCTCGGGGGATTCTCCTGCTGATGCTCTAGAACTGTTCCCATTCTGCTTGAACAACGGCTGGACCCCGGGTCCTAGGTCAGGGCCTGTGCACTCCAACTGTCCGGGCTCTGCCTCAAATGCACTCTTGGTTGGATGTGGGGTTCGTTTATGCCTGTGCCCCCTGCCCCAGCCCAAAGCTGGGGGTGGGGGAAGGAGGGGGTCCACACACACACGTTTTCTTCCAGGCATCACCCCGATGCTGCAGTTAATACGTGCCATCATGAAGGACCCCGAGGACCACACCGTCTGCCACCTGCTCTTTGCCAATCAGGTCAGTCCTGGTCCCTGGGTCTCCGAATATGCCCTAGCCCGAAGGCACAGGTCGGCTCCAACGTGTCTGCGCTCGACTCGGCTGCCCCTCCTGGCCTTCCCTCCAGGCCCAGCTCAGGCACCTTCCCGGGGAAGCGTCCCCTGATCTCACAAAGCTGCCTGGATCTACTCTCCCGGCCCCCAGTAGAATGGAAGCTTCTTGAGGGCAGTGGGACCTAGGGAAGGTCTTGGCATCCCCAGCGCCCACCCCAGGCCTGATGCTTAATAAATGCTCGTGGGGAGAGACAAGTTTGGGGACGCTCTGATGACAGCTCTCATGGGACCTCTAGGGCTCGAGAATTCGCCAAGTTCCTTCTGCCTTTCCCTCAGCTCAGTGGATGTCTTCTACGAGACTTAGGCCCTGCTGGCCCCTCTCCCTCCCCTCCCATTATCTGCATTTTACAGATGAAGAATCTGAGGCTCATAGCTGTTAAGGGACTTCTTGCCTGAAGGTCCCTTCCAGTTTTAGATCTGTGATCCTAACAATGGCCTTGGGCAAGTTACGGGGCCTCAGTTTCCCTATTCTGTATGAGGTTTAGTTTTTTCAGTCTCATCCAACTCTTTGCAACCCCATTTGGGGTTTTCTTGGCAGAGATACTGGAATGGTTTGACATTTCCTTGTCCAGCTCATTTTACAGATGAGGAAACTGAGGCAAGCAGGGTGAAGTGACTTGCCCAGGGTCACACAGCTAGTGAGTGTCTGAGGCAGGATTTGAACTGGGGAAGAGGAGTCTTCCTGGTTCTGGGCTTGCACTCTGTGCTCTCTGGCGGGACCTTCTGTATAATTGATGACTTTTTTTTTTGGCAGTTGGTGTTAAGTGACTTGCCCAGGGTCACAAAGCTAGTAAGTGTGAAGTGTTTGGTCTGAGGCCAGATTTGAACTCAGGTCCTCTTGACTCCAAGGCTGGTGCACTATATACCACGCCACCTCACTGCCCCATTGATCAATGACTTCTAAGGGCCCCCACGATTCCTGTTTCAGGGGGAATCCCCCTGTCCTCTTCTTCCTCCCTTATCCCCTCTCTCTCTCCAGGGCCCAAGCCAGCTCCCATCCCCGTTTGGGGGCAGGCCATGGGGATGTTTGCCCTTGTTTACAAATGGCATACTGTGGATTTTCTGCTTTTCCAGCTACTCTTATCTGTGGGATAATCCCCAGGGCTTCTCAGGCTCCTGTTGGAGCCGACCTCTCTCAGGCCTTTATCTGTGACCTGAGCCCCCTCTGCAGACCCTTGGTCTGGGGGTGCTTGTGAATGGCCTCTGTGATCCGTTCATTCTTTGACCACTGACCCACAGCATCTCAGAGGGGGAAGGGAAGCCTTGAAGGAAGGCTCTCACTGGAGCTTTGATCAGGAGCAGGGCCCTCCAGAGGGCTTCACACATCGGCCAGGGAGGACTGAGGTGCCTCAGAGTCTGAACGGCTGGGCGGAGGCCCCAGGAGGGGAGGTGTGGTGGGGGAGACACTGCTGGGCTTGGAGTCAGAAGGTCTGGCTTCCAATCTCCCCTTTGACATGAGGTGGCTGTGCCACTACAGCAAACCATGGAACTGCTCTGAGTCTCAGTTTCCTCCTCTGCAAAGTGGAAGGGGTGCACTAGAATGACCCCCCCCATCTAAAGTTCTGAGCCCATGACCAGTAGAGCTAAAAGGACCTTGGGCTCAAATTCCACCTTCCAGCTCTGTGACCCTGTGTATGAGGGCAAGGCTATGCCTCAGTTTCCCCACCTACTCTCTCCACAGGCCATGGTCTCAAAGGTCCCTGCTAGCTCTGACTCCCAGGGTGTGGGCTCCCTTGAGGAAAGACTTTTGTTCAGTTTTTGTTTAGTTTTCTGGTGGGTGACACTGCTGTCTGAAGAAAAACCTGTATTGTTCTGGGTTACTTATTCACTGTGAAACCACATTCCAGACTGTGGCCTCTGGACCCCAAGCGGTTGCCATGGTGACCCCAACACTCAGGCCAGATTCTTTCTCTCTTACTTTCTCTGTTTATGCAAAAGAAGGCTAGCAAGAGATGAAAACCATACTCACACCGAGGTCCCTTCCTCTGTTCTCTGACCTGACAAAGGAGGACCTGTCTCTAACCTTTCTCAATTTTTTCCTCTCTCCCTCCCTCCTTTCCTTTCTCCCTTCCTCCCTCTCTCCCTCTCTCCCTCCTTCCCTCCCTCCTTCCCTTCCTTCCTTCTCTCCCTCCCTCCTTTCCTTCCTCTCTCCCTCCTTTCCTTTCTCCCTCCTTTTCTTCATCCTCCCTCCTTCCCTCCTTCTCTCCATCTCTTCTTTCCTTTCTCCCTCCTTTTCTTCTTCCTCCCTCCCTCCTTCTCTCCCTCCCTCCCTCCTTCTCTCCCTCTCTCCTTTCCTTCCTCTCTCCCTCCTTCCTTTCCTTCCTTCCTTCTTTCTTCCCTTCCCTCTCTCCCTCCCTCCTTTCCTTCCTCTCTCCCTCCTTTCCTTCGTCCTCCCTCCCTCCCTCCCTCCCTCTCTTCCTGTTACTGTGTGGAGCCTGAGGACTTCTCGCAGCCACGATGACACTGTCAGTCCATACTATCTAGCTTCACCTGGGCCCTCATTGCAGACGGTCCTTTTGCTTCTCCCAGGATGATTCCAAACCTTCTCTTCCTCCCTCAGCCCACACTCTCCTACCTCTCCCTCTCCTGTCTCCTTCATCCTCTTCTCAGCCCTTCAGTCTGGGTCCTGACCTCATCACTCAACAGATAGTGCCCTCAGGGCTCTCACTGTCCCATGATAGAATGGGCTGCTTTGGGAGGTAGTGAGCTCCCCAGCACTGAGGTCTTCAGGCAAAGCCTGTTCGGCCACTCGGGTGTGTTGTAGAGGAGGTTTTGTTCAAGTTCATACTAGAATAGATGCTTCATCCCCTGGGATTCTGCTATCCAGACCCTTGGATGACATCTGTCCTCAGCCCCTTGCGGCCTGAGGCCCCAGGACAGCCCCAAACAAAGTCTTCTTTCAGCCCAAGGATAAAGCTTTCTCTTACCCACTCATACTGCACCATGGAGATGTGGGAGTTTTGTCCCTTTAGAATGCACGCAGCATGGCTCAGCTTCCACTGAGAGCTCCCTCAGACTGCCCGAGCTCCTGGACGTACTATCAGCCATGCGGTGTCAGGAAAGGGCCCTAGACGAGGCACCAGCTGCTGGGTGCCCCGGGGCAGGCCTTGCTGCCTCTGCTTGGGCCTCACTCTCCCCATCTGTAAAGTGAAGGCCCTGGACAAGGTTGCATGGGAGACAGAATGCTGACTTCGAGTGGGGGAGACCTGGACTTGAAATCCTGCCTTTGACACGTATGATCTGTGTGACCTTGGGCAAATCCCTTTACCTCTGTGCCTTTTTCCTCCTCTGTAAAATCGGGGGGGATAGATTCACGAGCTCTAGGGTCCCTTCTGGCTCTAAGCCTACGATTGTGTGACTCTGCTCTCTGCCTGAAGGCTCACAGGTAGGCACAGGGCTGTCAGAGGCCTGGCCTGAGGAGAGGTTGACAGGGAGAAGGAGATGAACGCGTTCCAGGCCCTGGTTCCTTTCTCTGTGTCTACCTGGACTTAGAAATGGGGTCCCCAGAGAGGCTGTACGCTGCTCTTTGCTTCTGCACCAGCTCATGGCTGTGTCACCCAGCAACACTAGAAACAGCCACCATCACCGACGGGGGCTCAAGCTTCCTGACCTAGACACAGAGGCTGGTGCTGTAACTGATCAGTGAGCTCTGCTGTTTGGCAATCTGGCTCACTGATCCCTTGGGGGGCATGACTGCAGGCCACAAGGCTGAGGGCGGAGATAGCCAGAACCAGGGCTCCTGGGGCTCTAGGCACCTGCCCCTCAGATACCTGGGACCTTAGAGGTTATCCTGTCCAGCCCCTTCATGTTACAGAGGAGTAAACTGAGGCTAAAAGGGAGGAAGTGATTTGCCTCAGGCCTTCCCAGCTCTGACATTCCCTGTTCTGAGGCCCCTCCCAGCTCTGACTTTCCCTGTTCTAAGGGTCTTCTCAGCTCTAGATTGTATGATCCCAGATAGGGCAGAGTGTTATCCCCATTTTCACAGATAGGGAAACTGAGGCTCAGACAGACCAAGTTGGAGAGAACACAGGCCTGGGAATCGGGGGGGACCTGGGTTTTAATCCCAGCTCCACTGACCACTTCCAGTCCTCTTCGGCTTCCTTCCCTCTCTGGACTCCACAGTTCTTGACATTTCTGCCGTCATCCCTTCCCCAGACTAGCTGGTAGCTGAGGTCCTTCCTGGCTCCTGCATCCCACGACTGTAATTTGCTGCCGTCCGAGCAGGGGCCCCGCCTCCCGTCACCGTCCTGCCACCCGTCTTCCCTGCGGCTGTCTCTGGATGGCCTGGGACGGCGCCTCTGGACCTCCCTGGGCCCATCTGTAAAGAGAAATTAATGGAGAAAAAAAACCACTGTAGGAAGATCGAGGTTTCTCGGTCCGGGTGAAGGGGCGCAGCGGGCTGGGCGGCCTTTCTTTGCTTTCACAGGTCTCCTCCGACAGAATCCCTTCTACCAAGTTTCTGTCTCCCCTTTTCTTTTTTGGGGGGGCAATTGGGGGTAAGTGACTTGCCGAGGGTCACACAGCTACCCTGCCCCCTTTTCTTACTAGGGAGCTCCTGGTACTAATACTAATGATGACAACAACAACGGTGACTCACATTTCTCAAGCACTCTGCATGCTCTTTCATGTGGTCCTCAGAGCCACCCTGGGAGGGAAGCGCTATTATCATCCTCATTTTACAGATGAGGAAACCGAGGCAGACAGTCTAGTGACTTGCTCAAGGCGACCCTGCCAATAGGTGTCTGAGGCTGGGTCATGCCACCTGGGGGGACTCCTGTCTACCCAAGCTGGGGGGACCTTCTCTGTGCAGCTTAGGGTCTACAGAGTTGTCTGGGCTCCCCAAGAGCCAGAATGTGTCAGAGGCAGCGACTAGATTTGAACCCAGGTCTGCCTGCTTCCTGCTCAGGCCAGCTTTCCCTTCACCTCCTCTCTTAGGCCCTTTAGAGAGCCCATCTTGGCCAGAGCCTTCAGAGTGTCGGGTCCTCCTCTGGGAGAGGAGCAGGATACTCGCCAGGGAGGGCCTTTTGAATGCTTTCTTCACCTCTGGGGGTCCTTTAGGGGTACCTGCCCAGAGGCAGGGGAATGGCCTAGATGACCCTAAGGATCACTGGAGGAATAAGAGCTGCTAGGTTCTAATCCCAGCAAGGTTCTCCCTGTGCGGTAAGAAAAGAGTTCAGAGGAACCCCTATTTTTGTAAGTCTTTGGGGTCTACAAAGTGCTTCCTCATGACAGGCCTGTGAGACAGGAGGTGACCATGTTACCTGGAGGCTCAGGAGTAGCGGGGTGGGGGGGTCACAAGGAGGAAGAACGTCCCCCTCCCCATTTATGGCTGAGCCTCTTGAGGGACAGCCATGCGTCAGGGAGAGCTGGGCCAAGTGTCTGGAGGGTCTCCCACCCTGCCCTGGCCTCCCCTGCCTCTCCTGACTCTGTCTTTCCTGGGGGCCTCCCCCCTGCAGACAGAAAAGGACATTCTGCTCCGATCTGAGCTGGAGGAGCTAAGGAACCAGCACTCGGCCCGGTTTAAGCTCTGGTTCACTGTGGATAAAGCCCCTGAAGGTGAGGGGGTGGGGGTGGGGAATATGCTGGAGATGAGGGGCTGTCCCAGAGGTGGGGGGCTGTCTCAGAGGGAGGGGCTATCCCAGTGGTGGGGGGCACCCCTTCCCTGGAGATCTCTCAGCAGAGGCTGACAACCCCCTTGTCAGGGATCCTCTGGGCCTCTGGGGGAGCTCCTCCTACGTGGCCCCAAAAGTGGGGTTATGAGTGGAACTGAGAGTCCAGGGGATGTCTCCAAGTCCAAGGCTCCCACCGGACCTCACTGGCTCCTACACTTGGGTGGGAAATCAGGGAAGGCCTCATGGAGAAGGTGGTCCATTTGAGGAGGGCCTTGAGAGATGGGTGAGATGTCAACCGGTGGGGTTGGGGAGGGAGAGGGGAATTGAGGACATTTTTCACTGGGCCAGTCTCAAAATAATCTATTTCCTCCCCCCTCCCTCGACCCTTCAGATTGGGACTACAGCCAAGGGTTTGTGAACGAGGACATGATCCGAGAGCACCTGCCTCCCCCTGAAGTCGATCCCCTGATCCTCATGTGTGGGCCTCCTCCCATGATCCAGTATGCCTGCATCCCCAACCTGGACAAAGTGGGGTACTCCAAGGACCTGCGCTTCTCTTTTTAGGGGGGCACAGTGACCTGGGCAGCACACAGGGCAGGGAGCTGGTTTACGGGAACACCGTCACACATATACATACATTTACACATATGCACACATACATACACATAAACATAGGCCCATGTCAGGTGCTGAGAAGCGACACCAGACCATAGGTCTCTAGACTGGCAGCCCCTCCCCCCTAGTAAAGCAGGCAGGCCTTCGTACCTTCCCCTCCCAGGCTGAATGGGTGACGCAGTTCCGTTTCTCCGCCAGGGGTGACAGTTTCCCAGGTGGGTGGTCATGCTGGTCACTCAGCTGGAACATGGCCATCCCCCAACACTGAAGCATCTTTTCACAGTTCATTTCTTTCAGTCACAGGCTGCCTAAAAAGTCAGGAGTCTCTTCCTCTTTTTTTATATTTTTAAATTTTATTTTTTCTTCTCCAATAAACCCAGCTCCCATGCAGGAAAGGGTTTCTCCGAAGGAGGTGGCTCCAGCCACGGCTGGTCTGTGCTCCTTGGGGCCGTCACCCACCCAGGGGCCTATCCCCGGGATCTTGGAGACGTCTGTGTCTCAGGAGCTTGAGCAGAGCCCATAGGCAGCACTCAAGGGATCCCACACGCTTGCTACCCCCTCTGCAGGCTGGGCTGGCTTCCAAGTCATGAAGGGGGTGAGAGGGGGCCAGCTCCAGAGGGGCCAGGGCAGGGCCCACGGTTACCTGGAAAGTCACGATGGCAGGCTCACTCCTGCTGTCCTCCTTAGCCCGTAGTGATGGTCTGTTTGCTCCTCTGACTCAGAAGGGAAATGGAAAGAAAGCTGCTTGTTTTTTGGGAAAAAGTACTCAAAGAGCTGTGAAGGATTTATAAGGAGGGGAATCTGAAACCTGGGGGCCACAGCCGGGAGTGGGCCAGGCACGGTGACAGGCGGGAGTCCAAGTATTCAAGGGGTGTGTGTGTGCGTGCATGTGTGTGAGAGACAGAAAGAGAAACAGAGAGGAGGGAGAGACAGAGAGAGAGAGAGAGAGACAGATTTCAGGGGTCTTGGCGTGGTCAGCCAAGAGTCCCAGCCCCCTGCTCCTGCCCCTTCCGATGGCAGCCTCAAGAGGATGCTGGGTTCCAAAGTGTTCTTCCCCCTAGGGGAGCCTCTCCCCTAAGAGGCCAGGCAGTGTAACATCTGTACCAGATATGCGGTTTTTCTTCCTTTTGTGAGGGGTCTGCCTCTGCTCAGTAGCTACTTTCCCCTTCACATGCCACTTTGCAAACAATTGTAGTCCCTTGGCATCAGAGGGACAGGGTCACTCGGCCAGGCTGCATAGAGATGTGTGTGTGTGTGTGTGTGTGTGTGTGTGTGTGTGTGTGTGTGTGTGTGTGTGTGTATCCCGGTAATGGGAAGAAGGGGGGGTGGCCAAGAAGGAGGCAGCAGCAGGGGCTGCAGAGAGAGAAGGGGCCGAGGACAGGGAGGGTGGATGGGAGGCCCCTCTCTGCGTTGGGCCGTTAGCGCCCTGCCTTGCGGAGACTCGAAGCAGACCGACCGTTCCTGGTGGGGCAGAACTTGGGGCCAGAACGGCCGTGGAGGGAAGATGCTGTGGGTGCTGCCCAGGTTTGCTCCCCCAGAGGTGCCTCTCCACGCCCTGGCTCTGCCCGGCTCCCAGGGGCACCTCGGGGTCCCTGGGCAGCAGGGGGGGGTCAGGGCAGCGGGCGCTGCCAGCGATGCTTTTGTCCTGCTTCCTTCTCCAATAGTGGCTTTCTTCCAGCTACAGTTTTTCTTTTGTGCAGAAAATAGAATAAAACTTCGCTCAACGTTGCTTTGCTGTGGCTGTTTCTTTGTCAAGGAATGAATCAGCTTTCCTCCAGGAAATGGGACTGGACTCTGGAGGGCAGGGCTGGGGGCTCCACACCAGGATAGCCTTCCTAAGCATGAGAGCTGTCCACACTGGAATGGGCTGCCTTGGGAGGTAGTGAGCTCCTTGTCAGCGGAGGTCTCAAGTAGAGGCTGGATGTTGGGAAGCCACAGGTGTGTGTGTGGGTGGGCAGGTGGATTGAGAGAGGTTTTTTTTGGGGAGGCAGTTGGGGGTTAAATTACTTGCCTAAGGTCACACAGCTGTAAGTGTCTGAGGCTAGATTTGAACTCGGCTCCTCCTGACTCCAGGGCTGGTGCTCTGTGCACTATGGCACCTCCTAGCTGCCTTGAGGTTCTTAAGTAGAGATTGGGCGACATGCCCTGAGGTCTCTGCCAAAGACGAGATTCTGCACAAACACAGAAGAAGAATGGCTTTGGAATGGGAGAAAAGTTGCAGGTGTTTGCAACTGGAGCCAGGGGAGAGGGTGGGCCGTGTGCATGTGCAGGGGTGCCCAGCCCCAACAACATGAGGCTTCTGCAATGCTGAAGGACCAGTGACCCCCAGGGCAAGGGGCCAGGTGGGCTGCCGGCGAGGCTTCAGGGGACAGGGGAAGGCAAGAAGCATAATGGAGGATGGTGCCATGGGTACCCTGTAATTTGGCACCCTGGGCAACGCCCCACTCACCTCCCCTAGTTTCATGGGGTTCTCATTTAAAATGTACTAGGCCCACCCCTAACACCCAACTGGGTCCTTCACCAGGCTATAGCACGTCAGCTAAGACAGGCAGGGGAGCTGCCAGGACCCCAGCACCCTCGTAAAGAGAATTTGGAAGAAAGGGGAGAGAGAATGACAGACAGAGATGGAGACAGGGACAGAGAGAGAGAGAGAGAAGGGAGAGAAAATCAGGACAGGCTTCATGGAGGAGGTGGAAAACCTCTCTGCCCAGTCCAGTCAGCTGGTCTGTGTCAGGAGAGGCTACAGTGTAAGTGGCCTGTTTTCCTCACGAAGAATGTCAATAACCATCCCCATAGCCTGCCTGGGACACAATCACAGTAACCCCGCACTGTCTCTATCCCAGAGTAAGACAGCGCTCTTCCTCCCAGGCTTCATTCTGCCCCAGTCCCCTGGGATGTACAGGGCAAACCTCGAGACTCCCTTTCCTGCCTGTGCAAGCAGAAGGAGGAGGTCTTTGGACCACTTCGTCCTGACCCCGTATTGACTTTTTCTTATTTACTTTTAACATTCATTTACACATTTTTTGAATTCCAGACTCTCTCCCTCCCTCCCACCCATCGAGAAGGCAACATGATGTCAGTCACACGTGTGAAGTCATGCAAAACATATCTCTGTATTAGCCGTGTTGCCAAAAATACCCCAAACAGCAAAAAGTAAGAAAAAATAAAGTGAAAAAAGGGCCTCTTCCACCTGCACTCAGATTTCATTGGTTCTTTCTCTGGAGGTGGACGGCATTTGTCATCACGAGTCCTTGGGAACTGTCTGAGATCACTGTGTTGATCAGAGTAGCTAAGTCATTTACGGTGGATCGCTTTTCAACATTGTTACTGTGTAAAATGTTCTCCCAGTTCTGCCCCCTTCACTTGGCATCAGTTCATGTAAGTCTTCCTCCATTTTCCTGAGAGCATCTTGCTCATCATTTCTCATAGCACAACAGTATTTTATCACAATCATATACCAAACTTGTTCATCCAATCCCCAATGAATGGGCATCCCCTCAATTTCCAATTCTTTGCCACCACAATAAGAGCTGCTAGGAATATTTGTGTCCAAAGAGGTCCTTTTCCCTTTTCTTCGAGCTCTTGGATCTTTGAGTTTCTCAAACCCTAGTTTACTACAGTCATTTACTACAATGTATTATGTACATAATGTATTCCACTGTTCCACCACTCTATTTCTTAGCCAGTACCAGATGGCTTTCCTGATTACCATGATTTCATGACAGTTTGAAATCTGGTATTGCTAGGCCACCTTCCTTCATATTTTTTTTCCCCACTGATTCCCTTGATATTCTTGACCTCTTGTTCTTCTATATGAAGTTTGTTTTTTTTTTCTAGCTCTATAAAATAAACCTTTGGTAGTTTGATTGGCATGGCACTGAACAAATAAATTATTTTAGGTAGAATTGTAATTTTTATTATATTGGCTCAGCCTACCCGTGAACAATTAGTATTTCTCCAGTTGTTTAGATCTGATTTTATTTGTGTGAAAAGAATTTTGTAATTGTGTTCATATAGTTTCTGGGTTCATCTTGGCAGGTAAACTCCCAAGTATTTTATATTGTCTGTTGTTATTTTAAATTGAATTTCTTATTCTATCTCTTCCTGCTTGGTTTTGTTGCAAATATATAGAAATGCTGACGATTTACATGAGTTTATTTTATATCCTACAACTTTGCTAAAATTGTTCATTGTTTTAACTAGTTTTTTAATTGATTCTCTAGGGTTCTCTAAGTATACCATCATATGTGTGAGTGACAGTTTTGTTTCCTCATTGCCTATTTTTATTCCTTCAATTTCTTTTTTCTTGTCTCATTGCTATAGTTGCATTTCTAGTACAATATTGAATAATAGTGGTGATAAGGGACATCCTTGCTTCGCTCCTGGTCTTATTGAGAAGGCTTCTAGCTTATCCCCATTACAGATAATGTTAGTTCTTGGTTTTAGGTAGATAACTGCTTATTTTTGAGAAAGGCTCCACTTATTCCTATGCTTTCTCGTGTTTTTAATAGGAATGAGTGTTGTATTTTAGCAAAACCTTTTCCTGCAATTATTGAGAGAATTATATGATTTTGGTTGGTTATGTTATTGATACGGTCAATTACGCTGATAGTTTTCCTAATATTGAACCAGCCCTGCATTCCTCGTATCCCTCCCACCTGGTCATATTGTCTGATCTTTGTGATATATTGATATAATCTCCTTGTTAGTATTTTATTTTAACTTTTTTTTTTTATGAATGTTCATTAGAGAAATTGGTCTATATTTTTCTTTCTCTGTTTTTGCTCTTCCTGGTTTCGGTATCAACACCACCTTTGTGTCATAAAAGGAATTTGGTATGACTCCTTCTTTACCTGTTTTTTCAAATAGTTTATAGAATATTGGAATTAATTGTTCCTTAAATGTTTGGTAGGATTCACTTGTGAATCCATCTGGTCTTGGGAATTTTTTCTTAAGGAGCACATTTGTGGCTTGTTCAATATATTTTTCCAGGATAGGGTTATTTATAATACGTTATTATATATTATAATAAGATGGGATTATTTATAATAAGTATTCTATTTCCTCTTCTGTTATTCTAGGCAACTTGTATTTTTGTAGCTATTCATCTATTTCACTTAGATAATCAATTTTACCGACATATAATTTGGGCAAAGTAACTTCTAATAATTGCTTTAATTTCATTATCATTGGTGGCGTAATCACGCTTTTCATTTTTGACACTGATAACTTGGTTTTCTTCCTTTTTAAAACTCAAACTAATCAATGGTTTATCTAGTTCATTGGTTTTTTCCCCATAAAACCAGCTCCTAGTTATATTTATTCAATTTTTCAATTTTTTTAACTTTCAATTTTATCTCTCCTTTGATGTCCAGGATTTCCATTTTAGTATTGTTGATTTAAAATGTTCTTTTTCTAGTGTTTTTCTTTTAAATTAATCTCTTATTTTCTATAGAACGAAACAGAGACTAGGTTACTTACCCAAAGACATACAAAAACTGGTTGATAGACTCAGGAATCCAACTCTAGTTTCCTACCTCCCAAGTTAATCAATTAATCCAATCAATCAATTAATTAATTAAAAAGCCTTCATTCAGTACTCATTGTATACCTGGGCTCTCTAGACCTCCCTACCTTCTAAGAGAAGGACATGCAGAAACACCACAGAGGCCTTCAGAAGGAGCAGAGAAACCAGCCATTGTGAGATTTAGAGAACGGAAATGAAATGAGCTGAAGGAAGCCCTTCTCTTCTCCTGTGTAGGGTAAGGAGAAAACTCAGCCTCTTCTGGGATGGGTAGGGGTCTCCATTCAACGGCTGCCTCTGTCCTGTGGGAGAGATAAAGAGACTAAATTCTACTTAAGTCCTGACCCTGAACTTCAGTATTCTGGAGTCAATCAATCAACCAAGGACTGTTAAAGCACAGTACTATGTGCCGGGCATCAGGAATACGACTGCAAAGAAGAAACAGTCTCAGACCTCCAGGAGCTGATAGCCCAGCCCAAGCAGGAGATGAGTGCTTAGACAGGGGTTTACCTGGTGCTTCTGAGGACTGGATTTGATTGCCTTGGGGCAGTGGATGGGGCGTTCCCCCACCCCCAGTCAGGAAGACTCGTCTTCTTGAGTTCAAATCTGGCCTCAGATATTTACTAGCTGTGTGGGCAAGTCACTTTACCCTGTTTGCCTCAGTTTCCTCATCTGTCAAATGAGCTGGAAAAGGAAATGGCAAACTACTCCAGTATCTTTGCCAAGAAAACCCCAAATGGGGTCATGAAGGGTCTGACATGACAGAACACCAATACAGAGATGTTTGAGGAATGAATTTGATTTGGTACCAACTTCTCTTGTTATCCCAGTGAGCTCCTTGAGGGCAGGACTTTGTCTCTGGTATTCCCAGGGCTTAGCTCTGCACCTGGCAACAGAAGATGCTTACTAAAAGCTTGTGAATGGCTGGCTGGCTGGATCGCTTTGGGAGTTGGTAGGAACATCCGACTAGATGTAGGCCAACACCCCTTTCCTCCTCCATTAATGAAATGCCTCCCTTTGCCAGGCCTTGAGCCAGGTACCACAAGACCCAAGACAAAAAGAAGAGTCCCTGCCCACAGGGAGCTTGCATTCTGCATTCTTCCTCTCATGTCTACCCTATAGAAGCACACTGAATCAGGGGTCTGAGGACCCAGGTTCCTGTCACCGACTTGACAGATGATCTCTTCCTCTCTTTTGGACCTCAGTCTTATTCTCTGTAAAATGGAAACAACTCCTTGCCTTCCAGCACCTTATCAGCCCAAGAAGTGAGCAGCTATTGTAGACCTTTTCTTCCGGAGGAGTGGTATGGCTGGGAGGTCCACAGAGAGCTGCCCTTCAGCTGCCTGAAGTGGCTTCAGTATGCATTTTCCTGGCAACCACAGGACCCCAGAATCCCTCGGGGTGGGGGAGGAGTGGCTAGGGGGCTGCCCGGGGCTGGAGGAGTGACTCAAGGCTTTTCCATTCTACAGACGCTTGAATCACCTAGGATCCCTGGGTGGGAGAGCTGGAATCCCCTTCCCCTACTGGGAGAAGTCTTGAGCTTTTGTCCTTCTGTGCCCACGGCCAAGCACACAGCAACCCTTAGGGATTGCTCCCTTGATTAGGACTGGAGGGGGCTTGTTCAGTCCTCAGGGTCAAGGTCCTTAATTTTCAGATGAAAGAACAAGGCCCAGAGGAGTTGGTTGACTTGCTCCAGGTCACACAGGCTGTAATGTCAGAGTTGGAATTTGAACCCAGATCTTTTGTCTCCACTCTCTTGGCCCTGGAATGGGGTTAGCTAATAATGCTAGCGCTTTGAATGATGATGGTGGCAGTGCTGAGCGCTGGGACTGCCTCGATTTTTATCTGCATCTAAGTCCTTGGTATATGCTTCTTCATTCATTCATTCATTCACTCATAAGAGCACACATTGATGTATGTAGCACATTGTGGTTTAAATTTTAAACTTTTAAAGATGCCTGGGAGGTCCAGAGTAGAAGGATGATTAACCCCGTTGGAGAGAGAGAAGGGAGCTGAGGGTCTGAGAAGCCTCACACAGCTATCAACCTGCTGTTACAGATACTTAAATAAAACCAGTGGCTGGAAGCTGGGGGAGCTGGATTCTCAGACTGCCAAGGATTCCCTGGGGTGGGGATCGACCCCAGCCCTGGGCTTCAGTTTATAATGCCCCAGGGAGCACTTTGCAAATGGGAAGGCTTAATAATTGATAACTAATAACACTCCCAAGTCAAGGAGAAAATATTGCAAGCAGCCAGAAAGAAACAATTCAAGTATTGTGGAAACAATCAGGATAACACAAGATTTAGCAGTTCTACATTAAGGGATCAGAGGGCTTAGAATATAGTATTCTGGAGGTGAAAGGAAATAGGATTACAGCCAAGAATCGACTACCCAGCAAAACAGTATAATCCTTCAGTGGAAAAAATGAACATTCAGTGAAATAGGAGACTTTCAAGCATTCTTGATGAAAAAACCAGAGCTGAATAGAAAATTTGACTTTCAAATACAGGACTCAAGTGGAACATGAAGAGGTAAACAGGAAAGAGAAATCATAAGAAGCTTATTAAATTTGAACTGTTCCTGCATGGAAAGATGATATTTGTAACTCATGAGACCTTTGTACAGTATTAGGGTAGCTGGAGGGAAAAATTGTATGTAGGTATAGATAGATAGACAGAGGGCACAGGGTGAGTTGAAGACGAAGGGAGTGATATCTGGAGAATAAAATTAAGGGGTGAGAGAGGATTATATTGGGAGAAGGAGAAAGGGAGATGTAGAATGGGGTAAATTATCTCATAAAACAGACAAGAAAAAGCTTTTACAATGGAGGGGAAACAAGGGAAGGTGAGAGGGAATGAGTGAATCTTATTCTCATCAGATTTGGCTTAAGGAGGGAATAACATGCACACTCAATTGGGTATGGAAATCTGTCTTACCCTACAGGAAAATGGGAGTGGAAGGGGACAAGAAAGAAGGAGGGGAGGGCAGATTGGGGGAGGGGGTAATCAGAAGCAGACACTTATGAGGAGGGACAGGGTCAAAAGAGAGAATAGAGTAAATGGAGGGTGTGATAGGATGAAGGGAAATACAGTTTTCACAACATGACTACTATGGAAGTGTTTTGCATGACTACACATCTATAACCCTTAGCGAGTTGCTTGCCTTCTCAATGGGGGGGAGGGAGAAAATCTGGAACCAAAGTTTTAAAAACAAATGTCAAAAACTGTTTTTACATGCAACTGGGAAATAAGGTCTACAGGAAATGGGGTATAGAAATCTATCCTGCCCTACAGGAAAACGAAAGGGGAAGGGGATAAGAAAAGGGGGGTGATAGAAGAGAGGGCAGATTAGGGGAAGGGGTATTCAGAATGCATGCAGTCTTGGGGTGGGGGGCGAGACGGGGAGAAAATTTAGAACTCAAAATCTTGTGGAGGTGAATGTTGGAAACTAAAAATGAATAAATAAAAAAGAAATAGGAAAAAATAACTAGTAACAAATGATTCTTTATGATCACGAAACTCATATGGTCGGGTCCAATTCTCTCCCGAAGCGCACCTCCTCCCCCTGGTGACAAGAGACCGTTAATACGCGCTCGCCAAGGTCTCCACTTCTGGGAGGCGGCGGGTGTGGACAGGTGAACGCTAGTTCACACGCTTTCTCTAGGAGAACCCTCAAATCCTAGAATGCCAGCGTGAGAAAAGGCCTTAGGGGGCACCCAACGCAACCGGCAGTCAAGCCCCCCCCCAGCCTTTCCGACCAGGGATACTCCAACCCCGGATGGGAAGTCTCCCTCGGTGCCCATTGGGACAAGGTCCACGTCAAAATAAAATTTAAACGCCCCGCCCCCTTCACCTGCCCTTACTTGGAGGCCCCAATTTCCTTCAATCGGCCGCCACCTCTTCCCATCTTGGGAAATTGCCCAAGGGATGGCTGATCGCTGCTCCCTGCTCTCTCTCACTCACTCACAGCACCTGTTCTACAATTTATACTTCGGTGCTGGAACACAGGTCCGAGACCCGCTTTCCACTCCTCACTCCCCACTGCCCACTGAACGCTGAACACTGAACTTGTCCTCCCCCCCACCTAAAAATTAAACCACTTTAGTGGAAAGAAAAGCGTTATTTGATAAGCGTTAATCATCCCCAACTCGTGGCACGGAGCTTCCGTACGTTACACGCCATCAACGCTATTACACAACACACCGAAACACCCCATCTATTCTTTTGCACCTAAAATGAGATACGGGCAGATCGCTACACCCAGGCATCCCGCTAAAGTAGGCGGGTCACCTCAGGGACAACCTTTACCCGCTCAAAAATTCTTCTCACATGCGTAGTGAGGATTCGGGCGTCACCCCGAATCGTTATTTTCCTTACTCATAAGTTTAAGGCATAAGACGACCAGCCGCCTAAACGTGGCTGGGGGGGTGTCCCCAGACCTATTACGCTTAGGGTGAGTCCGTAAGCAGTTGACAGCACCGAGCACAAGCCGGACTACTTATAAATTGGCTCAATAAACTTCCGTCACGATTTTTAAAGCTTCTATGGAGAGGAGAAAGGTCCTTTAACATTCCGTTCTCTGTATGTAAATCGGAGGCCGACCTCGCGAGGGTTCATGGGATACGCAACCCGTCAGCCTCGCTCCGGCATTGGCCAGATCGGAAGGGGCCGGGTGTCGCGAGAGCTAGTGCGTCGACGGAAGGACCGTGAGCTGGACACCGGAAGCAGTTGCGTCCCTTCTCCGGCACCGATGGGCGGGGGAGCGCCGAGTGCGTGAGAGGCGCCTGTTCTCGTTTTCCGCGGCGCAAGATGGCGGACCTGTCCCTGGACGAGCTCATCCGGAAGCGCGGGGTGACGGTGAAGGGTCGGTGAGTGAGCCTCTCTCTCTCCTCGGGGCCGCCTCGGAGCCGGGGCCCGGGGCCTGGAGCCTCTCCAGACATTGGCCGGGGGCCGGGCGGCCGCGGGGATGCCCCGGGTTCCGGGCCCTCTAGTCCGCCCGGGCCAGGCCCTCCCTCCCTCCAGGGCCCACCTTCTCTCGCCAGCGCCGCTGCTCATTGGCCAGGGCTCCGAGGCCGCGCGCGCTCTCCGCCTTCCCATTGGCTGCCGGCTCCGCCGCTCATTCTTGGCTCCAGCGAGGGCGGGGCGGCGAGGCGCGAGCGTCCCTGGGGGGAAAGGCTGTTGAGCCCCGGGAGGGAGGCGGGGGTGCGACGAGGGGGCAAGAGCCTAGGCCGCCCCGGTGTCTGCAGCGCGGGGAGGGTGGTCACAGTGATAGCAGTCCCCTCCGCAATTCTAGAGCGCCGGGAGGGTCTCCGTAGCGCTCACAGCCTTCTGTTGCAAAGGGCTTGGATGGGTGCAACGGGAATCACAGCCCCCATTGCTGCAGAGTCTGGAGGGGTGCAACGGCGAAAATAGCCCCCTTTTCTGGAGAGTCTGGAGGGGTGCAACGGCGAAAATAGCCCCCTTTTCTGGAGAGTCTGGAGGGGTGCAACGGCGAAAATAGCCCCCTTTTCTGGAGAGTCTGGAGGGGTGCAACGGCGAAAATAGCCCCTTTTCTGGAGAGTCTGGAGGGGTGCAACGGCGAAAATAGCCCCCTTTTCTGGAGAGTCTGGAGGGGTGCAACGGCGAAAATAGCCCCCTTTTCTGGAGAGTCTGGAGGGGTGCAATAGTGATCACATTTTTAGAGCACTTAGGGGTCTTAGTAATGCCTAAAAATGAGAAAATCAAAATGATTGCGTTCTTAATTGATTCTACTTTTGTAATTCTGTTTGTACTTGATTCTATTCTGTATTTTGTATAACTACCCAAGCTCCTTTCTTTGTGTCTGAGTTGTTCCTAGCTTCAAAAGTTCAGCCTTCCTCTCTGAGATAGGTTGTCCCATAAATCACCTTAATTCAAAGAATATTTTATCTCTACACATCTTAACTGTTCAGTCATGTCTCTTCATGACTCCATCTAGGGTTTTCCTGGCAGAGATATTGGAGTGGTTTGCCGTTTCCATCTCATTTTACAGAAGAGGAAACTGAGGCAGACCAGGTGAAGTGACTTGCCCAGGGTCACACAGGCTAGTAAGTGTCTAAGGCAGGATTTGAACTCAGGAGGTTGAGTCTTCCTGATGCCAGGCCTGAGCTCTGTGCGCTTGGCATCCCCCAGTACCCTACAGATCTTACTGCCTGTGCGCAGTTAGGGAGACTTGTTAACTTCCTAAGGAGCCCTGCGGGATGCGGTGGGCTGCATAAACCAATCAGTATTCCTTAAGGACCAGGGCTTGTGGCTGGCCCTGAATTCCACATTTCCACCCAATCCTATTGTTTTCCCATCTATGACACTGCCTTCTAGTTGTTGTCTGTAAAAAGGATGTCCAGAACTCACTGGAGGACTCTTTCCTTGGGGAGGAGCGAAAGACCCCTTTTATTGACAGTTGATAGCCTTATTGATAAGGTGACCTTGCTCAGGACTTTGGGCCTCAGTTTACCTGAGGAATGTTCCACTCCCTCCCTGTGGACCTTTGAGGTGCTGAGCATGGGTCCGTGTGGCTCTGGGCCAGTCCCTCCCCCATCCTCTGGGCAGAGACACTCAGTTGTTACAAAACGTCACGTTTTTCTAGTTTTCTACGTTTTATTGTCTTTTTGTTTATTTTGTTAAGTGTTTCCTGGTCCCATTTTAATCTGGTTCCTGCCTCACTGGGAGTGTTGTGGGCCTGCATGGTTGATGCCAGCTCTCAGTACCCACTAGCGGCATTGGTAAGGGGATTTTCTTTATCTGGGAGTTGCCTAGCTCAAGGAAATCCTGGCTCCCAGCCCCTGCCTCTTGGAGGTCACAGGTTTAAACCTGGAAGAGTCATCCCCATTTTACAGATGAGGCACCGACTGATGGGGACTGTGCAGGGTCCTACATTCCCCGTGTTGAGGCAGGACTTGAATCCGCTCTTCCTGGAGAGCCTTGAGGGCAGCAGGCATAATTGAGTCTCCTCCTTCCCATTTCTAAAGGACTTCACCAGCTGCTCCCCTCCCTTTTCTCTTGAGAAAATCAAATTCATTCCCATTCCATTTTGTAATTGATTCGAGTCTATGTCACCACCAGCGTTTTGTAAAACTGTCTAAAGTCGCCTTCCCTTGTCTTCAAGTTCAGTTCAGAAATTCACAGGCTCAGAAGTCCAGTCTTCCACTCTCCGTTAAGTTTTAAGGTTCAGTTTCCCAATTAAAGGCATCCTGGTGGTTCAGTGGATAGAGCATTGGGCCTGGAGTCAGAAAGACCTGAGTTCAAATCTGGCCTCAGGCACTTACGAGCCTCACGACCCTAGGCAAGTCACTTAGCTTCTCTTTGCCTTAATCCACTAGAGAAGGAAATGGCAAACCATTCTGGTATCTTTTGTCAAGAAAACTCCGTGGACATTCGGGGTCCACAGAGTTACGAAGAGTCGGACACGGCTGAACAGCAGCAGACTTCGTACTAAAACACTTAAAAGAAGCCTGCTGTCTTAAGCTTAAGAGTTCAGTTTCCTTATGAATCACTTTTGATTGAAGGAAGCCCGTCCTGGCTGCGCTGCTCCTTCCTTGCAGGTGGTGGTCCTGTGTGCTCTCCTCGTTTGGGAGTTTAGCTTTCCTGGGAGTCAGTCACTCCACCTCCAGGACTTCTGTTATCTCTGTCGAGTTATCACTGGCCGGGAGGAAGGAGGGCGTGTTACCAGCCACTCTGGGGTTTTCCTCATCTCTGACACTGCCTCCTTATTTTTGAAGGCTCCTCTTATCTATAAAAAGAGGAGCGGAGAGACCTCGTTTATCAGTAGTTGCTGGCCTTACCAGTAAACAGATGGTGCTCGGGGCTTTGTGCCTCAGTCTACCTTATTTTCCGTCATGACCCTGTAGTACTTTGCTCTCTGCAGGGCTGGCATCTCAAGGGTTTGCCATAGTAATAACTCCTGTGGTGCTGAATGGGTAACAGCCATGACAGCCCCCTTGCCCTCGCTCCTTCCGAGGACCACAACCCTCGGGCTCTGACTACACTTGGCCCCATCTCGGCCTTTTCTCTTGTGGCTTTGGAGCCCACTGAGGCACCCACGCCTGCCCTGGGGGTCTAGAGAGTTAGAAATTACACAGCATTTTCTTCCTGTGGTTGAGTGTCTGGTTATTATCCTGGGGAAAGCTGCCTGACTTGGGGGAAGCCTTGGGTTCTAGTCTCACCTCTAACCTCAGACTGCCCTGGAGAATAGTCTTGGGGGTCTCTGCCCCAGGCAGCCTCTTCTTCCTCTTCCTCCTCCTCCTCCTCCCCTCCACCCTGAGCTGGTGTGCTTCTATAAAGGCTCCTTTTCTCCTGGGGCCTCATCCTGCCTGCCTCCTGGATCTTCTCCATCTCTAATGCCGTTCCCTAGTCACGGGGCCACACTGCCCTAGGTCACTGGGGCTTCTGTCTGGCCCACTCCAAAGTTCCCTTCCCTTCGAGCCCTAGCTGCACACCCCAGCCTCAGTTTCTTCATCTGTCAAATGAGGGCCATAGTAATTGGCATTTCTTTTGATCTGTGACGCTTCTGTCCCTGTGGTAGTGAGGACGAGGCTTTGTAACTCCTCAGTTATTCCATCCTCACCTGTAGGGCATCGACTGTCTGGCTCAGGTCACTAAAGCCGGGAAAGCAGCGAAGACTTGTCAGAAATCCTGGCTGGATTGGGAAGACTCAGATAAGCCTCCTTGTCAGGGTCCGTGCCCACTGCTGCAGATGGGGAGACTGAGGCCCAAAGAGGAATGGTCCAGAGAACTTTCTCTGGAGGCTGTCATTCTTTCAGGTTTCCCTCGTCAGACTATAAAATCCTCTGCCTCATTGAGAAAGTGGGGACTTGTCCAGTATTTGGTCATTTGTGTCCTTAGTAGGACAAGGGAGGCATTGGCTAAGGCCTTTAACTCTTCCCTTTCTTAAGCCTGCTGAGGCTGCTTAGGTTTGCTGAATGTTTGAATCGATTGAGTGGTGTGGGGAGCAGGACCAGGAAGGGCGGAGCGAGTCTGTAGTCATTTTTGGACGCGTTGGCTGGCTGGACGTGCAGCTGGGGCCATGCAGGAGGCAGTGGGATGGGAGGCCTGGGGATATTGGGATTTGGGAGTCCTGGGAACCCCAGCCTCTGGGTTGGGAGGGATGTGATAAAATTGGGGGGGGGTGACAGTCTAGGAGGGCCACCTGTGGGGCTGGACTTAGGAGAAGGAGGTCTGAGAACTGGTGGGCCCTGGGCACTTGGAGCCACTGGCTGGTGAGGAAGACCAGGGGGTCAGAAAAGCCCAGGGCCTTTTTCACTCCCCCCCCCCATTGAGGAGCTTTCAAGGAAACAAGCCCCATTATAGAGATGGAAAGTTCTGCAAAATACATTCCTGCCCTAGCCACGGTCCCTGAAAAGGAAGAAAAAGGAAGGGAAAATCAGGCTTCCAGCTGCCCTCGGCAGCCTTTCTCAGCACCTGTCCTTGTGGGGGCCTGAGCTTCGGGCTGTTCTGGGGGGATGGTCAGCCTTCACCCACTCCCTTCCCTCTGCCTCTGTTTGTCCAAGTCTCAGGGGAGGGGTCTGAGACCATCCCCGACATCAAGTGACCTTTGTGGTGGTTTGGCAGGGTCCGGTGGGGAAGCTGGAGGAAGAGGGTCGCTGGGACAGGCCATAACAGAGCTGGAGCGCCCTCTGGCTGCCTTGGCCCCTCCGTGTGCTGGGGCCTTCTGGCCGGGTCAGGCCTGGTGACCTCAGGCTCCTCCTCCATCCGGCTGAACCAGTCTAACTTCTTCCACCATCAGGGCTGGCTTTTGCTGCTGCTTTTTTTTTTTTTTTTGCCTTTTGGTGTGGCACTTGGGGTTAAGTGACTTGCCCGGGGTCACACAGCTAGTAAATGTCAAGTGTCTGAG